CCAAGAACGGCATGTTCTTTTCAGGCCTGGCATCCAGGCCTACAAGAACATGCCATTTTTGGGTCATGTCGCGGCCGTGTTGGGCCTATGTGGGGCTCCATTAATTAACTATCATTATGAGTCATGAGACTTTAATATACTATACTAATTTTAAATTAACTAAACTAAACTATACTATACTATATAGTTCACTTATAATATGTTATAACAAGTATGATAAGTATGTAAAAAAACAAGTTTATACATTTTATTAAACTTTGAACTTTGAACCTAATTTTACAACACTTTTAAACTGCCTCAAACCTTAAGTTTAACTAGCTTATCGACTTTATCTCTTAACTCCAAATGATAATAATTTAACTTAACTTTAACTTTAACTTAACCAAACTTAAACTTTGAACTTAAGACTCAAGAACTGCTAACAACAATTAAATTAAATGTAACCGTTAGCCGTTAACCGTTAACTGACCGTTAACTCATTCACTGTAACCGTTAACCGTTAACCGTTAACCTAAATCCTTTTTGAACTTTTTGAGGCAACAACAAAAACAACTGCAACTTCACCAAGCACTGCCAAGCACCTATAGTAGCCGTGCAGTTGCCCTTTGTGGTTTGGTTGGGTTCATGAAGCACGGGCAAACAAATTCAATATCATGAATCATGTATGCATTTGGAGCGACTGCGCTGGGTTCAGCTGGCGGCCAAAGGCACCAGGCAAACCTTTGCAGCGAAATCGCTTGGAAAACTCTGAACTGCCTTCCGGAGATGCTGCAGCCTCATTTTTTTCTGGCGTCTGGACAGTAGCATTCTGATGCTGCTACTATCAGACACCCTTGTCTTGAGAGTTTTTGTTTGACCTGAGCATGGCAGGGCTTCATGTGCAATGTGAGCCCTGTATCCACTGTCCGACCGAGGTTCAATTTTTCGTCCCTGCTATCGCAAGGGTCATTGTTTTATGAGCTGATTGTGAAGATCCGATGGCTACTGGAGAACCGGCTCGTCATCAAGTATGACCAGCGGACGCCCCAGTCACCAGTCCTTTAAGCGAGGGCTTCAGCTTCAACGTTTCCACGCGGCGATGGCTATGACTGTGAGGCTATGAATATCTAGTTCAAAAAATTGAACTTCACATGAATTTGATTTTTGATCGACCTGTCTACTGTAGACAGACTGTATTTAGACTAAAATTTAGACTCTTCTGTAGATTGTACACTGTAGGTAGATTGTAGAGACTAGACCCCGTAGAAGACTCTGGCATCACAGCTTTCAAGGCCCGAAAAAGCCAATTTGGACTATGCTCGCAGCATTATGGAGGAAGCCCATCGTCGAAGCAAACGCCTGAGAATGCCAGAGCATCAACGAGTCATGAGTCAAGAGCCTGGAGTCTTGGATGCTTAGAGGCTTTGAGTCAAGAGTCTCCGTGCAGTTGGTGTTTAGGCCCGCATCCTTCTGACGACCTTGAAGAGGAATACCATGAGGCCCACAGTGATCGGAGTCAGGCAGCTGAAATGCTTCTGCTGGTTGCAAACGGAGATCCTCGTCCGGTTGCATGCGGTCTACTGGTTTCAGGGATGGTGGCAGTGCCAGTGCTAGTGGTGGTGCTGTTTGGGTTTTAAAGTTTAGTGACTTAACCGCATGGGATTTTCCTCTCATTCCTGTGGATCCTTGATGAGGACTGGACTAGCCCCACCCCAGTCCACCACTGCCGGCTGGGCTGCTGCGCGAACAGAAAGGAAAGCGGTCGCGACCTCAACCCACGATTATCTGACATCAGAATGCGGAGTCGCTTGAGAGCTTGAGAGCCATCTTCAGCATTTATGCTCACAACTCACAACTCTTGCAGACTCTTGACTCATGTCAACTCTCTTGTGATTTACTCTTCCGGACGGACTACTCTTACTGTACTCTTGCTGACTTGTTACCAGTCGTTAGACTGACTATTGACTCACTATTTACTATTTACTATTTACTATTGACTCATTGACTATTGGCTACTATTGACTATTGAATTGTTACTGTTGCTGATGTTACTGATGTTAATGTTGCTGAAGTTGGAAGGAGGATTGCGGACTGCAGGTTTCGGTTTCAGGCTTTGTGGAATTGAGGTGGGAAATTTTTTGCGGCTTTTCTGGATTACGCGTAGCGGGCTGAGACAATCCTTCGTCAGCCAAAAGCTACAAAGCCAGTGATATGACATGCATTGCCTGTACTACTTGCTGAGCATCCAAAAAAATGCGTCAACATGGCAGAGGGTGTTCAGTGGCCGAGGCTTGCCAAAAGGCCAGTCATACCAAACATCTCAAGGTGGTTGTCCTGCGGCGAGAACGCTCGGTTTTTCATGTTGTGACCTGAGCAGCGGGAATGATCTTGTGCTCATTGGACTCTGTAGCATGCAGCAGCTTGCAGGCACATGTGCATTACTTGCACTTGCATTTCATTTGATCCCGAGTTTAGTGACTGGTGGTAATTTTTTGAAAGTGCACGACCCGGATTTTCAACTCGTTGTCACGTCGGTCAATTTTGCTTGAGGCTGGCCTTTGGATTGCACAACCTGCTTCCCCAAGCTTGGTTCACCTCTTAGATCCGTTGTGCTCTTCAAATTTCAGCGTCCAGACTCCAGACGTACTCGCATTTTTTTGAGGCAGCTTTTGTTCAACCAGGTGCCTTCCCATTTAGCACCTCGCAATGCCTGTTTTTTGGTCACAGTGACGGCGGGATATGGCGGGCGTAATGGTAAGGTATCAGGTGCAGGTACAGTAAGGCCTGTGCGAGCTCCGTGTCAAATAGTTTCCCCAAGCTGCCCAAGACTTAAAGTTACAGTTAAAGCTTGCAAGTACTGCAGCTGCTACACATGGCGCGCAGGGAGCGCTTTCGAAGTTGCAGGGTGCGGGCGACTCAGCTGACTCAGCCGATCAGCAAATGGTCCCTGTGCATGCCTTGCTCTTTGACGATCATTTTGGTGATGCTTACCAGAGGGTGCAGAGAGTCCGAGCAAAGAAAGTCTCTGCATGGATGGAAAAACCCAATTCCTTGCCTGTGCTGATTTCTGCTTCCTTGGTGCTGTCCCCGCTGGAACGCCTGATGCCTGCTCCTCAGTTTGTGTGCATTGAACAAGAATTGCATTAATTATTAGTGACAGTGACAGACAATCTTTGTTGCAGTCCATTACAAATCTTACAGTACAACTACAACACTGGCACCTTGGGTTGAGTCATGTTGTTCATTGGAATCACTGAATTACTTATCATGCCGAAGTCCGTTCGGCTCAGCTTCTGAAGTGGTGCGAAGACACCCGCCCATTTCACCCACCCTCGACACCACTGAAATTTCATATTTAACTTTCTGGCGAGTCAAATGCAAACTTTGTGATGAGTGCGTCGCCCCTGGCCGATGAGATCACTGAGAACAATTCTCGTTTGCATACGGTATTGAGACATCGTCCATTACCTTCTGATGTGCAGCGCATTGGCGCTTTTTGGGCAAATCAATCTTTGGTCATTATTTACCATGTGAAGAGGTGGCACTGGAATGAGTTCGGAATTTACAGTTTTCTGAATTTTGTTGACCGCAACGCGGTTGCCACTACCTGTTATTGTTATTCAGCTCGCATGGAACACATGGAGCGAGTCACTGATGACGAGCTTGTGTTGTCGCCTACCCAACAGCACGGTGACTTGCCGATTCGACATGCCTAGGCACACAGTGAATTTTCAGTATGTCAAACACGTTCCAAAAAAACATGTTTGCCGCCACTGGGCCGCCACAATACTTTTTTTTTAAATATTAATTTTACTCAAGATTTTTGGTTTCGAGGCTTGCCCGAAATTTTTGGTTTCGAGTTTCGAGTTTCGGCGCTAGCCTCTCGACTTGTCTAGCCATGTCCTAAAATGTCTAAAAGGACAATGAGAGAAAAGGCGAAGACTTGCCTCTCCACTTGTCCTTCCATGTCCTAAAAAGGACAAAGTGACAAAATGTCATGTTTGTCCTAGCACATGGCCAGTCTGTACAACCTTTCCTGGCACAGACCAGGACGACCTTCCTAGGCGAAAGCCAGGGCGACCTTTCTAGGCGAAAGCCAGGACAAGTCAGCGTGAAGAAAATGGTGTTTTTTCATATCCAGCGGGCAAAACATCACTGCACTGCACGTTTATTTCCAAAAAAAAACAGCGGGCGAACCCGCGGCGAACCTCATTTTTTACACCCAAAAATTGCATTTTGAAAAAGCCAACGTGCAGTCAACGTAAAATTCAACGTGTGGCAACCATATATAACTGCAGTTGTAAAGGCCATGGCAATAACCAAAAAATCTTGTGATTTGACGTGTGAGCCGTCTGAGGTTTCAACTCCTGCGAGAAATGAGGAAACGGCAGTGGATGGATGGTGGTCAGCCATATGATCAGTTGCCAGCTGTGCGGATGACTTCAGCCCAAAAGCCTCCAACTTGGACCTTTTTTTGACTTTTGATTCAGATTCACTACGTTAGTTCTTCTGAAACATCAGTCAGACTGAAAACAGCTGAAAAACAATGCTGGATACTGGAAACGGATACTGTGATACAGTGATACTTCGACTGTAAAACTGTATATAGCTGTTATGATATGTGATATGTGACATGTGTGTATACCGGCTCCGGCGGGAAAGTTTTGTAATGAGAGAAAAGGAGAAGGCTAGCCTCTCCACTCGTCTTGCCATGTCCTAAAATCCTAAAAGGACAATGAGAGAAAAGGAGAAGGCTTGCCTCTCCACGTATAATTTATAATTTTATATAACTGTATCTGTATCTAAGCCTGTATAGCTATGAAACAATGAAATGAAACTGTAATACTACTGTAATAATACTATATACTATATACCTATATACTATTACTATACTGTAATACTACTAATACTAATGCTAATACTATACTGTACTGTACCGTAAATCTGCAAAACTGTATACGTACAGACTGTATTGCAACTTGTGGTTTTGATTGTGGCATCATTGATTCTACGCATGATCTATGTCGCTTTTGAAGTTTGACACATTGAGGTCGATGGCCGCCATTGCGTTGAAGGAGTACGTATCCATGGCAAATGGAGAGACTCCTCTGTGCCTGAAAGGATGGGTCTGATGTGCTTGGCTTTCTTCCATACTGACTCAGTCTGGAAATTCAACGCAAGCTTTCACACGCCCATTGACTCAAAACACGTCCCGTCGGCTTTTAGTTTTTTGATTCCAAATTCCAAATGGTTCCATATTTAAGATTTGAGATAATGATTTCTGAGTTTTGTTTCAAACACTCAACTTTGCAGAGGCTGGCTAAATTGCTAGCTGTGAAGGATTCGACAGCGCATCGCTGCACCTGGCAACTTTCGTCCTGTACTCATGTATTGGCCATGTGTGGCAGAGGCTGTACCATGTGTTCGAGGCTGGGTGATGTACACATCTGTATTCGCTGAGAGGCACTGACGCACTTGCTACTTAGTTAGGCCGTCTAACGTTCTTTAGGGATTCTAGGGTCTAGCCGTGCCCAGCCTTAATCTGGAAGCCTTTTCTCAGGAGTGGCCCTACAGATTGGCGAAGATCCTGGACCCACATGTGCCTTTCGAGTCACAGGTTGATCTGGTGAGGCAATTCCTGTCGGCCAGAGATTGCTGTTGTGACAAAGGGTTTTCCATTCCTTTGCAACAGTTCATGAAGGACCGAGGTTCTTTTGGAGTTGCTGTGTGAGATTTGCGACCAACTTTAAGATTCTGGGTCTGGGTATGTATACTTTTCCTGCGGGTCGTTGAGGAGAACCAGCACGGAGCTGAAAGTTTGCTTCCGGGAGGCCCCCTTTGCCACATTGCCATGGCCTTGGGATGTGTGTTAGCGGCGAACTGTCGTCCATATCCTGAAGTGACCGATGCTCTTTTTAGGTGAGGCTTTTATCAATGCGAAAATTGATCAACGCCCAGATCGAAACCAATTTTGCACGGGCATCTGCGCAACGCAGGCCAGCTACTCAGTGGGAGCTTAAATGATAACGATTTGAATCTTTGAAGGCATTTTGACAACCAACAGAACAAATTTAGCATCACCCCCAGTGGTAGCACAGTAAAGCAGTCACCGTGGCCGTGACCCTATGGCAAATTTGTTCCAAACTCGGCCTGCTCATTTCTGCTCTATTCTGCCCTCACTTGCCAAAACCGATCCCTTTCGTTTCATCGGCTTCTAATGATAATGTTTTTTTGAATTTTTGAGCACCTTTTTAACCCGTTTTCAAGGCAAAGAAAAAATACATTACATACCAGCAGTCCAGCGGTTGAGGGAATCAGTGATGCAGGGTCAGTTTTCAAATTATTAAAATGCAATCAAAATACCATGATTGTCTGTCGAATTGTCCAGTCCCCAAACTCGGCCTGCTCATTTCTGCTCTATTCTGCCCTCACTTGCCAAAACCGATCCCTTTCGTTTCATCGGCTTCTAATGATAATGTTTTTTTGAATTTTTGAGCACCTTTTTAACCCGTTTTCAAGGCAAAGAAAAAATACATTACATACCAGCAGTCCAGCGGTTGAGGGAATCAGTGATGCAGGGTCAGTTTTCAAATTATTAAAATGCAATCAAAATACCATGATTGTCTGTCGAATTGTCCAGTCCCGGTTCCACCCGGCTCATGCGTTCTAGCTCCTAAAGCTAACTGAGGAAATGATCACCACCCATTACAGTAAGAGGGTGGCATGTGCTACTCAGATAACTTAACCATCCGAAATTTCAATTTGGCTGCTGAATCAGCCAAAACTGACAACTGAGGACGACGCAAGGTCGAGGACATGGTATAACCACCATGGCCCCTTCCTGAGGTTTGTACTGAGGTGCACATACTATATATTAATAAATTATTAAATATTACTAGTACTATTTTTTTTAAATTTGCAAATGCCAATGAGCAGAGGCAGAACATTCAATCATAGCCACTGGCAGCTGTGCGAAGCCTTGCAAGCGAGTTAAGAGTTCTCAGAGTTTACTGACATATGGCCTTATCAGCTGAATGAGGTTGCAAAGTTTATGCTTGGTGAACTTCAAAAAGAACACTATCGTGCCCGGCTGGCCGCAGAGACCGCACAGGCCGAGCAGTTGCAGGATGGAGGCCAAGAGGAACAGCCGCCAGGAGCTTACAATGGTTTCACATTGCTTCTCAAAGATCGACTTCAGTCCATGGCATCCTGATTGAATTAATTATTCATTCACTTGGCTTCACGCCTGGTCCGTTTTATTGTGGCTGCATCGCAATGGGCGTGGTGAATTTACATGGTCTGTATTGAGTCTTGAGTTTTGAGACAGGCAATTTCACGGCAATTAGAGCGCTTCTGCCGGTCATGCGTGATGATGATGGTGATGCTGACGATTATGTTGTTGCTGCTAAATCAATAAGAAGCATTTGAAAATTTGATACCTTTGTGACTGGAACTGTGCACTTGCATGTACAGACATACTGTCAGGTTACTGATACTGTTAATAAAAAGCCAAAGTAAAGTTAAAGTTACAGTTACCGGCAGTTACCGGGAACATTTTGTAGTTAAAACTGGCAACCGTCAACTGTCAGCTATCAGCTGTCAGTGGTGAAGCGTTTGCTGGAAACTGGAAACCTTTTTTAAACTTAGACTCTGAAACTGTTTACACCTGTTCGGGAGATTCGAGTTTTCTGCTTTCCAAGTTTCCACATTCAGGGTTACGACTTACTGGGCTTCCTGTCTGGGATTGGGCGATCTGGCACAAAGGGCGCTGGAATCTCACATCAAAATTCCATTTTTAAAATTCGAATCAAACGTTGAAAGAAAGTGGCCCGGCCAATGCCTCTTTCCCTGGTGGATGGCTAATTAATTACCTTGTTTGTGCTTCAGGTATCATACCCTGGAGAGAGCCGGCAGCAAGCGATTTCCAGGACCTGGAATGAAACATCGCAGCACTGGGCATCAAGCAGCCACGAATTTAAGGAGGAGGGGAGAGACGTGCAACATGAATCATGGCCGTGTGGCCCATTATTTCTTGGTGCTTGAGATCGATATCATTATCAGTTATCAGTTATCAGTGATTCAGTTATGAGTTATGAGTCATTATCATCATTCATCATCTAATCTCATCACATCTATATTATGTTTTACCTTAGCAGCCTTAACCTTTACCGCCGTTACCTTTCTTTACCGTATCCCTAGTATACCGTATACCGTATGCCTTTACCTTACCTTTACCTCATAACCTCATATATAAAATAAAATAAAAATTGTAAATTTATTATAAATGTTATAAATATAATAAATTGTTTAAGTTTCTAAGTCTATGTCATATTGTCACTTTGTTGATGGAGATACCAGCCTGTAGCAGCCTGTCGTTGCCCTACTTACTACTTTACATACCAGACTCCCAGACCTTTTCACTCTGCACATTGATTCTGACTCGGTGATGGATTTTTTTCCGCTCCAGCCCTCTTGTATTTCTCCGGCCCTGTGGAAGCAGGAGCAGTCTCGTGCAGCCAAGCAGCGCAATGCCTTGGCCCGGCAAAAGCATTCTGAAGTTCTGGCAGAGGGAAGAGGTGATTCCAGCTTGGTGCCTCACCGCCAAACGTTGGATTTTGACACCTCTGGCTTGGCGGACGACAAGTACGCGATAGCAGAATCGATCCTGGAGGCTGAACGCAAAAGCTGCCCCGGTTGGATGCAAACAAAGCATGTGGAATTCGAGAGGGAGCATGGACAATTGATGCAGCTGGCAGAGGAAGCCGAGTCGGATGCAGAGGACGAGACACATGGAGAATTTTGTCAATGCCCCATTGACCTTTGTGCGCGGGATGCTGAGCGGCTTGATGACTACCAGACATGGTTCCATCAATGCAGAGAAGTTTTGCGTGTCTGCAGGAACACTCGGAAAGCCAAAGGTTTCGTCCCGGATCACCCGTTGGTCGTTGTCATTCCTCCTGATGTCGAAGGCATTCATGATTTGAAATGTGGAGATGAGGTGTACCTCTTTGCAAAAGTTGCGTTTTCGCCATTTGACGCCACCTTGGTGAAACTCAAATTGGAGCGTCTGGGCCTGGGTGGCCATGACTCACCGTCCCCATGGGTTGCGAGAATGCACCCCACCAATGAAGGTCTTCCGGATATGATGTCTTTGGACCTTTTTTTGAAGCAGTGCTGCGAGTCTTTTGATGGTGAATCAGACAAGCTGCAGATTCTTCACTACAGTGGTGGACGCAAGTTTGGGGAATTAGACATCCAGTCAATGGAAGCCATTGAACAAGCTCTACGAAGAGCTGCTCCTGAAGTTGTGGCCCGTGATGCAGATTTGGAGGAAGAGCAGCGAGCTGCCAAGAAAAGAAGTGACTTGCTCAGGAAGGTCTTGGATGCTGGGACAGACAAGAACCCCAAGCACGCGAAGGCCAAGCCAAAAGCAGGAACCGTGCCAAGACCCAAGGCAGTGAAAAAACCAACAAAGCAAACCCATTCAAAAAAGTCGCATCGAGAAGGGCAAGATCCAGATGATTCAGAAGATCATCCCGCCGAAGAAGATGAAGACCCAGATGAGCCTGGCTTCTCAGGGGCCATGCACCGTACTATCGAGAGGGAGTGGGCTGGAGCTCTGGAGGGAGACCTGCCGCAAGCTTCTTCCAGCTCAAGTTCTTCGAGTTCGCATGGTCCGGGCCATCCACCTGTTCAAGATCAACCTGTTCAAGGTCAACCCATTCAACAACCTGCCGCGGGGTCTACACTGCCGTGGAAAGATTCTTCAGGGTATTGCTTTCTGCCCAAGGATGGGAACGCGAAGGGAACCCACTTGGGTGCCCAACTCAGCACGTTGAATTCTACTCGATTACCCTGGCCCTAGACTCTTTGGACTCTAGAGCCCTTTACTTCTTTACCTTACCTTTGATTCTCTAGAACTCTAAACCTAGATGATTCTAGATTCTAGATTCTAGACTCTAGACTCTAGACTATTCTAGACTCCTAGACTTCTAGACTCTCAGAATCGAACGCAGTGAAATGACCCGGACTCGAAAGCTCAAACTGCTCAAACTGATTGATTTCAACCCAGCGATTGGCTCACTGACTCAAAGGACTCAAAGGGCTGATGGTGATAGTATTTTATTTTATTTTTTGTGTCACAATTTTAAAGACAAGTGCGCGCTGCAGGTAGAGTGACCGAAATCCGAATTGGAGAGCCAGATCACGCCGTATCCATACGCTGTGGCAACTTGCCCTTGCAAGATCAGGCCTGAGGCCTGGGTCCTGGTCCAGTTCCATTTCAAGTCGGGCTTTGGCATGTGTAATTGTCATGACATGTAATTATAATAATATAAATATAAATAATTAATAATAAAAATAAATAAATAAAAAAATATAATTTAGCAATTTAGCATGTCGCTCTAGCACGTTTTTGAGGGGTCTCTTTAGAGTCTTTAGAGTAGAGTCGAGCCTATGTCTGCCTCCATTTTCTGCATTACTGCTCCCTTAACTTTCTCTATTTTCTGCATTACTGCTCCCTTAACTTTCTCCTTCTTCATTACTGCTCTCTTAACTTTCTCCATTTTCTGCATTACTGCTCCCTTAACTTTCTCCATTTTCTGCATTACTGCTCCCTTAACTTTCTCCTTCTGCATTACTGCTCTCTTAACTTTCTCCATTTTCTGCATTACTGCTTCCTTAACTTTCTCCATTTTCTGCATTACTGCTCCCTTAGCCCTTAACTTTCTCCACTTTCTGCATTGCTGCTCCCTTAACTTTCTCCATCAAGTCAAGGGCAAAGTCTGGGACCGTAAGCTACCAAAGCCCAAATGCTATGCCGAATTTGGTGAAATGATTTCGAGTCCCCAAATTGGCCTCCAAATTGGCCTCCAAATTGGCCCCCAGGAGCCCCATTACTGCTCCCTTAACTCCCCCCAGTTAAGGGAGCAGTAATGGAAAGTTAAGGGAACAGTTAAGTTAAGGGAGCAGTAATGGAAAGTTAAGGAAGCAGTAGTGGAAAGTTAAGGGAGCAGTAGTGGAAAGTTAAGGGAGCAGTAATGGAAAGTTAAGGGAACAGTTAAGGGCCAAGGGAGCAGTAATTGAATGTTAAGGGAGCAGTAATGGAAAGTTAAGGAAGCAGTAGTGGAAAGTTAAGGGAGCAGTAATGGAAAGTTAAGGGAACAGTTAAGGGCCAAGGGAGCAGTAATTGAATGTTAAGGGGGCAGTAATGGAAAGTTAAGGGAGCAGTAATGGAAAGTTAAGGAAGCAGTAGTGGAAAGTTAAGGGAGCAGTAATGGAAAGTTAAGGGAACAGTTAAGGGAGCAGCAATGGAAAATTTAAGGGAGCAGTAATGGAAATTTAAGGGAGCAGTAATGGATAAAGAAAATGTGTTAGTGTTAGAGCCTGTTAGAGCAACATCCTAAATTACAATATAAATTAAATTAATTAAATTATTAAATTAAATTAAATCGTAGAATGGACTGTGAATTAACTGTAACTAGTCAGTGTTAGTCAGTCTCAGAGTCTATTGCGGCGTTGTTGTTTTGCATCTCCCTGTTTTTGAGGGCTGGACTTAGTCACTCAGATGTAGACGTCGCTTGTCCCTAGCCTTCTGAGCTTCTCAATTTGTCAGCTTGAGGCTTTAGGCTCTTAGGCCCTATACCTACCTGAACAATTTTACACTGCACTGTACTGAGCTGTACACACAATGTGCTACACCGCTACACTGTGCGCACTCTGTGCATACATTGCGCTTGAGTCACGTCACGTCACTGTTGTGCAATTGAGGCCCGTTGATTTAGTGTTGCGTTTGAGACGCTGTGAACTTACTGAAGGGCCTTAAGGCCTTAAGGGATTTGCGTGGGGGCTGGCGGCTGGATGGCCTTCAGAGCACCGTGTCGATGCCTTCCGTCCCAACATTGACAGCACCTTCATCCAATGTGTTGAAGACACAGGCCCATTTACTGGGGCGAGTCAGATCACCGTATCCTGGTGTTCTGGAGCGTGAAAGGTGCAACACCGACTGCAAGACAAACTGCTGTGTGTGCATACATTGCGCTTGAGTCGCTTGAGTCACGTCACGTCACTGTTGTGCAATTGAGGCCCGTTGATTTAGTGTTGCGTTTGAGACGCTGTGAACTTACTGAAGGGCCTTAAGGCCTTAAGGGATTTGCGTGGGGGCTGGCGGCTGGATGGCCTTCAGAGCACCGTGTCGATGCCTTCCGTCCCAACATTGACAGCACCTTCATCCAATGTGTTGAAGACACAGGCCCATTTACTGGGGCGAGTCAGATCACCGTATCCTGGTGTTCTGGAGCGTGAAAGGTGCACACCGACTGCAAGACAAACTGCTGTCTGTGTGTGCTTGTGCCGTTTGTTTGCTTGTTTGGGCTGGTTTTGGGGTCCCTGGCATTGTCCCTTCCGCTCCATTCTTCTTTTCACAATTGTGACAATTGTGGCATTGTGGTTTCCTTTTTGACCTTGGACTTGGACTATTAGATTCTGACTGTCTCTGACTCTTTGCCGCTTTTTCGCACTGAACAGCTTTGATTTTCAATCCAGCATTGGATTGAGAGCCAAGGACTTCACAAGGATTGTAAGGTGCTTGTGGCCGTGAAGAGGCTTTCTGGGAACGCCGAAGTGCGCATCTTACAGTGGATGGCATCTGGCGTAGCAATTCCTGGCCGAGAGCGGGCGAGCGAGCATAAGATGACGTCACTTCGGCTCAAAATAAGAGGTCACAGGTCAGCAGGCGTTTGAGATCATTTGGGTGTATTATAATCTTGCAACTTGAAGCACGTAAGAACGTAGGTAGACTGAGACCGAGATTACCCGCATGTCAGGTGGAAGGCATACTTGGGACTGAGCTGAAGTTGCCGTGCTTGGAAAAAACAGAATGCAGTGCCACATTTGGATAAGGTGATTTATTTGCAGTACTCGTATCGGTCTCAGTCGAGTCATATCATAGAAAAGAAATTGTAAAAAAAAACTAAAACTGAAACTTGTTATCATTCAAGGTTTGTGATGCTTTTCATTCCTTTGCAGATTGCAGACCATGCAATTTTGAACGATGCGGTGCCCATTTTGTTGCTGGGGGCCACCCTCAGCAGCCCATGGCATTTGAATCAAATCTGATGACATGAGTTTCCACTTTCCAGCTTTCAGAAAAACTTCGGCCGTGATTGCTAAGCATTCCCAAGCCGGCCCAAGCCATTGGATGGCTGTTGACACCCTTTGTGACCCGACGAAGATTGATATTTCCGCAAACATCTCAATCTCAGGTTCATTTGATTAATTATAATAATAATCATCTATAATCAGTAATCATCTATAATTTAATTTAGTTATGAATCTATGAATCATGAATATGAATATGCCAATAATAATAATAATATATGCTGATATAATATATATTATATATGCCATGCTCTTTCGCGGGTTGAATGTGTCTTTGCCTCCTCCTTGGAGTTTTCTGAGTTGTGACCTAGCCACGTGTCACTTGCCTTTGAGCTTTCCATGCCGTCTTCTGCTGCGGGGAAGTCTTTTCCATCCAGTGCCCCCGATCCGCCACCTGGCGTAGATCTACCGGCAGACTACGTCGCCAAGCGCTGCCGTAGATGTGGGTTGCTTGGCATTTTTTTGGGCAGTGTGGGGTTCAGAAGTTCAATACGCTCTTGTAATGGAGAGAAAAGGAGAAGGCTTGCCTCTCCACTTATCTTGCCATGTCCTAAAAAGGACAAAAGTATACCGGGCTTACAAACCTAAAACTTGAACTTGAACTTAAACTACTTAAATAACTTACAAACTTAAACAACTTAAAAATCTTAAAAATCATTACTTCAAACTTCAAACTTCAAACCTAAGGCTCCCAAAACTCTTAGACTCAGACTATTAAAAATTAAAGTCTAGTCTAGAGTCTAGAGTCTAGAGTCTAGAGTCTAGAGTCTAGAGTCTAGAGTCTAGAGTCTAGAGTCTAGTCTAGAGTCTAGAGTCTAGAGTCTAGAGTCTCGAGTCTCTTGAGTCTCTTGAGTCTTGAGTTTTATTTCTTGAGTCTTAAGTTATAAGTTATTAAGTTATAAGTTATAAGTTATAAGTTAAGTCTTGAGTCTTAAGTTAAGCGTCGTAAGAGTCTTTAAGTCTTAGGACTGAGAACTTTTTTAGACTCCTGAACTGCAACTGTAAACTGTAGACACTGTACACTGTACCCTGTACACTGTACACTGTACTGTACACTGTACTGTAAACGTAAACTGCACTGCACACTGTACACTGTGCACTGTACATTGTACACTGCATACACTGTACACACTGTGCACTGCACACTGTACACTTTACTGTAACTGTAACTGTAACTGTAAACTACACTGCACGGTACAGTACACTGTACACTACACTGGTACAATGTCTGTAAACTGTAAACTTTAAACTTTAAAGACCTTTAAACTTTAAACTGTAAACACTGTAAACTTTAACTTTAAATTCTCAACTTGTAAACACTGTAAACTGTAACTGTACACTGTACTGTACACTGTAGACACTGTAGACTGTAGACTCTAGACTGTAAACTGTAAACTGTAAACTACTTTAAACTGTAAACTGGAAAGTGTAGGCTTTGAACTTTGAACCTTAGCCTTAAACTTTAAACTTTAAAAGACTTTCAACTTTAAGCTTTAAAACTTCAAACTCAAACTGTAAACTTGTACACTGTTAACCTTACTGTATGTAAACTGTACTGTTGAGCCTTAACTGAGCTGTGAACTATAGACTTGGACTTCCGTATTTAAACTTTTACTTGATATTATTATCCAAAACTACTAAACTTTAATAAACTAACTTTAAACTTTGAACTTTCAAATGTTGCAATTTTGAAACTTCTTTAAACTTCACACTTGTAAATTATGGAATTCAATTTAAATCAATTCAAATCAGTTAAAGTGAATACAGGCAAACATTGTAGATCAACTTGAAATTTTCAGCTTTGGGGACTTTATGGCTCAAACTTTAAACTTTAAACTTTAAACTTTGAACTTAAACTTTGCATGTATTACTGTATCACTGTAAAACTGTAAAACCGTTCAGTGCAAAGCAGCTCAACTTTGATTTTTAAACTTTAAAATTTTAAAAATTAAACTTTTATCTTGGATTTTTAACTTGAACGGTAACGGAACAGTAATGGCTTTAAATCTTTTGTTGTTTCAATCTTTTGAACTTTAAACACCACCATTTGTAAAGTGTCTTTCTAACCAAAGACTTAAAATCTTAAAGTCAGAAAGTGCAAGGAAGCTTTAGGCTTTGGGCCTTGGGTTTTGGTTTCAACTTTGAGATAATTTGAATTCCCGCCTTCAGCAAAACTTAAGATTGACTTAAGACTGGAAGACTCTAAGACTAAGAGCTGAACTGTATGTGTTTTCATTCAAAGCACAAACTGACACACCGAACAAATATTTTAAGACACTTGAAACTTGAAGCCCTTAAGGACATAAGGCTCTTGGCAAACTTTAAGGCTGGCTTAAAGTCTTAAAGGCTTAAAGACTTTGAAACTATTTTAAGTTTTAAGTTTTAAGCTTAAACTTAAAGCTTTAAAGTGCTTCAATGCTTTTGTAATTCCAGAACTGAAGATTCAAGTTCAACGAAAGGTTAAGTGGTTAAGGTGTAATGCTGAAGGCTTAAGGCTTAAAGTCTTAAACGGATGCAAGTGAAATTTAAACTTAAGCTTCAAAATGTAAATTTAAAGTTTCAAAGTTTAAAAGGAGCTTAAAATTGAAGTTTAAAGTTTAAAGTTTAAAATTTAAAGGTTAAAAAAAATAAAACTTAAGATTTTGACTCTAGGGACTCTTAGAGACTCTTAGGGGCAGCAAACTCTAGACTCAGACTGTGTAGACTCTCTAGATTCTGTAGACTCTAGACTTGACTTTACTGTTTTCTTCAGTTTTGGCTTGCCAATGTTTTAGTTTTACAAACGCTTGAGAAAGAATCTTCTGACTTGCGGCGGAGCTTAGACTGTGTTTTTCCCTTCCAGATGGGTGCTTCGAAATTGACAGCAGGATACTGGCACCAAGTCGCTGACACGGAACTGTCAGTGTTGGATGATGTTTTTTGTCGTCGAAACTGTAGGTGAGCAATCGACATGGCTGCAGTGACATTTTTGTGAGTTTAGTTGTGTGACTTATGCTTATGCGGTTTGCTTTCCAGTTTGGGGCCATCTTGAATTTGAACCATTCGACTTAGGCATTGACCACTAGATTGGCTAGATTTACATATTGTCATTTTGTGTCTTCAGTATATGATGCCTTTCAAGTTCTGACTTGACTTTCCTGAGGATTTGGAGCACAAGCAGGGCTCGCTATGACCAAAGCCTGGCCCCTGAGAAGAGCTGGTCCTTGGTAGCTGCATGGGCAGCTGGAACTCTGCAGAAACCTGTGGGCAACCATTGCTTGATATGCAGAAAAGCTGCTTGGCTTTAAATTTGGATGGAGTCGGATGCACTTGACCCTTGATTGATGCAGTTTTCTCCCACACACTTGCTACCACTTGTTTGATACTTGGTAATGTTACCGGTGACGCAAGTACAGAGCATTGACAAAGGTGCCATAATTGTTGCTACTGATTCATATCGCGGCGGATTTGGGACTGACGTTTGGGCGGGGAACACACACAAACAGGTTCACACACAAAAAAAGCTAGTTAAAACTAGTTGATTGCATTGTGCCGTGAGGTTTTACATCAACTTATCATCGGTACAACATGTGTACCAATGGTGAACTGTACTCATGCAACATGTACCGTACCCATGTACCATGTACCGTACCCATGTACCAATGGCATGTACCCAACATGTTGTACCAATCCTAGCGGCTGATCTGGATGATATAGCAAGCAATTTAGCCGCTATATCATACAGATCAGCCGCTAGGATTGGTACAACATGTTGGGTACATCACATTGGTACATGGTACATGGGTACGGTACATGGTACATGGGTACGGTACACCACGGTACGGTACATATGACATAGGGGTACGGTACACAGGTACATAGTAACATGGTACAGTGGTACAGTGCATGTGATACTCTGATACTGTGATACATTGATATGGTACATGAGTACATCACAGAACATAGGAGCCCTGAGAATCTGAAATCTGCAACTGCTGAGAATCCCTGAGCTGTACATGCAGTACACAGGACACTCTCACTGACACTGTACACTGTCCACGCTGTCCACACTGTAGTAGGAGTTCATCCTTAAACTTAAACTTGAAACAAAAAAATGATGAGTTTAGGCAGGGTTGAAAGTTCGCACACCAAGCATGATGAGTTTAGTTTATAAAGTTGTTTAAAGTTTAAGTTAGTACAATTAGTTAAAGTTTAAAGTTAAAGTTTAAAGTTTAAAAGTTTAAAGTTTAAAGTTTATTAAAGGTTTAGTTTTTAAGGTTTTAAGTTTTAAGTTTAAACACCACACATGATGAGTTTAGGGTTTAGAGTTCCAAAAACACACATGATGAGTTAAGGGTTTAGGGTTCAAACAGCACACATGATGAGTTTAGGGTTTAGAGTTCGAACACCATACATGATGAGTTTAGGGTTGAGGGTTCGCACAACAAACATGATGAGTTTGGGGTTTAGGGTTTAAACTTTTAACTTTAAACTTTAAACTTTTTAACTAAAGTTTTAACACCACACATGATTAGTTAGTTTTGGGTTTAGAGTTCCAAAAACACACATGATGAGTTTAGGGTTTAGGGTTTAAGCAGCACACATGATGAGTTTAGGGTTTAGAGTTTAGAGTTTAGAGTTTAGAGTTCGAACACCACACATGATGAGTTAAAGGTTTAGGGTTCCAAAAGCACACATGATGAGTTTAGGGTTGAGAGTTCGCACAACAAGCATGATGAGTTTGGGGTTTAGGGTTTACACACCACACATGCTGAGTTCAGGGTTTAGGGTTCCAAAAAACACATGATGAGTTTAGGGTTTAGAGTTCCAAAAACACACATGATGAGTTTAGGGTTTAGGGATCAATCAGCACACATGATGAGTTTAGGGTTTAGAGTTTAGAGTCTAGAGTTTGAGTTTAGAGTTCGAACATCACACATGATGAGTTAAGGGTTTAGGGTTCCAAAAGCACACATGATGAGTTTAGGGTTGAGGGTTCGCACAGCAAGCATAATGAATGTGAGATTCAGGGTTCGAAAACTACACATGATGAGTTTAGGGTTTAGGGTTTGAACACTACACATGATGAGTTCAGGGTTTAGGGTTCCAAAAAAAAACACATGATGAGTTTAGGGCTTTAGAGTTCCAAAAACACACATGATCAGTTTAGGGTTTAGGGTTCAAGCACCACACATGATGAGTTGAGGGTTTAGACTTCGAACGCCACACATGATGAGTTCAGGGTTTAGGGTTCCAAAAAAACACATGATGAGTTTAGGGTTGAGGGTTCAGCAACACACATGATGAGTTTAGGTTTTAGAGTTCGACAGCCACACATGATGAGTATAGGGTTTAGTTTAGGGTTTAGAGTTCGAACACCACACATGATGAGTGTAGGGCCAGGGTTTAGGGTCCAAAAAAGCACACATGATGAGTTCAGGGTTGCACACACGTGATGAGTTTAGGGTTTTAAGTTGGGGTGCCGAAAAACACATGTTGAGTGTAGGGAGACGTGCGAGAAAACAATTTTAGGCAGGTGAAGTTGAGAGGACGGTTTCGAAAGAAACAAACATGATATAGTGAATATAGTAGAATAGTATAGAGTCTATATACTTTAGAGTCTATGTCTATACTATAGAGTCTACTAACTATAGTACTAGATTGGATTTGATTAGATTATGATTATATTATATACCCTGAATCACATTGCTACATCACATAATCATCCTAAACACCACAGGTCGTTGTAAATAACATGATCTCTGATCTCTGAAACTTCATACACCCTAAACTCCTTCTCCTGACTACCCTTCACCTTTCCTGACCTCGTCAACCCTTTAGCCTTAGCCTAAAGGGGCTAAATCTCTTAACTTCATGGGCCAACCAAGAATTAGATTAGTACACCTAGGGGCCTAGGGGCATATTAATGTTATTGTTGATGTTGCCGGTAAGTTGCTTTTTGGATGTTGACTGACCGCTGAAGTTGTTTAGGCTGCAGACCTTGGGGGCCATTTGGCGAAGCTGTGGTTGCAAGAAAGGGGCGAGGAAAAACACGTTTGTTTTCCATTTTCCAGTGTTTTTCTGCTGAACTAGTTGATCATGGCTTCTGAACGTTGTGGGTTCTGCCGGCTGACCCATGACCAGTCACAGAGTTTGTGTGGATGTGGATAAATCACCCAACGGTGACATTATCATAGCTCCTGCAGGGATTGTTTTTCTTCATCGATCCGGATCCGCCTGATTTTTTTTGGCTTCCGAGGAAGCACAAGTCGATGTCCGTGATGGACAAAGTCATGGACAATGAGCCCTCGGAGAATCATGACTTCCTGAAGACAGTGGATCGCCTAGTGAAACTCAAAGCCGAGAACCCAAAAATTCGGTTGAGTGGGCCCAATCCGTTGAGGGAAACCATCGTGGTTTCAGAGGAGGAGAAGGTTGGAATGCGTGGCCCGAAACGCAAGTTCCTGGAACTGTCCAAATACGAACAGCGATTCGGGCCGGCGCCGCCCGGACAGATCAAAACTATTTCCTTCAAGGGCCAGAAAATTCGAGGTGTGGACGTCATCAATGAAGAAGACGAGTCTTGTCATGACTCATGCATCGATGTTTCCATTGGTATGGTTTGTGGCAGGTATTCATGTTGTGTTTTTTCCCTGGCTGAGTCTTTGCGTCTATGCTAGTCCACCATTTTAATTTTAAGAGAGTGAATTGGCACAGGCCGACCTAGCCGATGGATTTGTGTACATTCACACTCATTGATTGAGAATCCCAAGGCCACAATTCAATTGAGCGGCAATTCAGTGTAGGTTCAGACACTTGTTATCACTTGTCTGACTCATGGCATGGGATCTTGCGGGTTCATCAGTTTCTGCCGTTTCTGCCATTTTTTTTTGCTGTGCCTCCAAGGAAGGAGTCTACGAATATATAGAAGAAACTTCAAAGATGCTTGGTCGCCACACGGAATTGAATGAGCCAGATTTAGATGTTGGTGGCACTGAGAACTTCTACATGGCAGCTCTCCAACAAATCAATGCGGGTGCTGCAAGTTCCAGTGGGCAGGCAGTGACGATTCCAACATCGCAAGGACCAACGTCCAGTGGGAAATCTAGGATTGAAGATGCTGCGAAAGGAGAAGCTGGCGCTGGCAATTTGGATGAGGAGACCTGTTTGACTCTTTGTAATCTATATTTAACTTTAACTATCTATATTTGATGCTGATACCGATACCGATACACTGGTACCGATTTACTTTTTCACTAGCCTTTCTTTTTCCATTCATTAAGACTCGTATACAACAGTGTAGTGTAGTGTACAGTGTGCAGTATATGATATGTGATGTAGTGATACATGATGTGGGAGACTTGAGATGTTTTCCCTCCTCATTATGGACAGCATCGCAGTGCTTGCAACACACATTGCCAAATTGCGGTTTGTTTGGTTTACGGAGTTTATTACTGATACCGTACCTGATCAATGTTTCAATCGCATTATGTCATTATGAGAATCAAAAGTAACTCAACGCTATCACAAGGTAAAGATTTGATGAGATACTCACACAAGGCATGGATCTGATCTGAACATATCTTTCTTGCAGTGGTTTCAGATTCTTTGTGCAGGAGAGTGAGGACGATGAGGATGTCCAACCATTTGCGAGGCTGTTTGCACGAGTGAGTCAAGCCAACTCTGTTGTTGAGACCAACAGCAGCGGCGTGGGCATGCCAGTGCCGAAGCCAGCCCCCAAGCCACGGTCGGGTCCCAGTGCTAAGCAGCCTTCGCAGAAGAATAAGAACACCAATGCCGCCAATGCCAATACCAATACTGGTGGCAATGGTGGCAATCTCCCCGATCCAGACAAGAGATCTGAGAAAGGTGATGAACCAAATGACCATGACCATGTGACACTTCCTGGAAGTGATGATGAACCGCTTGTACCGGAGCCAAAGAACAAGCGCGTGAAGGGAGCAAAGCAGAAGCCAGGCGGAAGGACCTCTGATGCTTCTGCCCGGGTTGGCCCTGGCAAAGAGGTGGTGCAGACTGGTGATGGTGAGGATATGAGCACAGAAGACCGGGAGGTCGTGAGTAGGTTCGAGGGCCTAGTCCAGGAACACAAAGAGATGAACCCTGGCCCAGACTTTGCGCAATGGAGCAAGGACAGTTGAGCATCCACGGCATTTCCAGTGGGCATGCGAGTGCCTATCTATCCCTTGTGACTCCTGATTCTTGTTGCTCTGTGACCAGTGACAAGGTTGTGATGCGTCGCATCAGTGAAAATGACACATATTTCATATTCAGATTCATATTCAGATTCATTATTCACAGATTCCTGATTCACAGTTTCACAAGTTTGACATATTCTACATATTCTTAGATTGTCAGATCTTAGCCTGAGTATGAATCACCACAGGTCCTTCGTACAAATACTTTTTTCTTTGGTAAGTTCATTCATTTGATCTGGCAATTCGGATTTGTTTTGGTCCGCGCTTTCTCTTTGGAGGACAGAATTGCAGCGCTGACGGAGCTGCGCAACAACATTCAGTCCAAGCAGAAGTCTCTGAAGCGAAGACGTGGCGAAAGTTCGGTCTCGTCGTCAACTGTGTCTTTGAAGGAAGGGCTGACGAAGCTGCTGGAGGAGCTCTCCACCTTGATTGACCTGACACGACGGTTGAATGCTTGCGCTCCCACAGAGGGGAAGAATCTCTATGATGCCATTTTGGCGGTCAGTGGTTTGACTGTGGGACAAGAGGTGTGGAAGAGAGCCATGAAAGCTTGGACCTACGAGGCTGGGCCTTTTTTTTGGCCTTTTTTTTGGAGGGGGCAACAGTGGCAACAGCCGGCTGTTCTGAGAGATTGAATCGCATAGTAGCACCGTAGCCGACTACAGTTTCTGAGCAAATCAGATTGGACAGACAAAGTGTTATGTCTGTTATGTCACATTATAATTTATATGTCATAGTCATAGTGAGTCATAGGGTTATGTCATGTGCTGTCCTGGTACAGAACTGCACTTGTACTGTGTACTGAGACTGGGTGGTGTTTCAGTTTCACTTGGTCCTGACTGAAGGTGCTGAAGCTGGCTTCCTGGGACTGCTTTTTCGATGAGGTTTTGGCACATTGCAAGAAACACCTTCCGGATTGTCCGGAATTCTTTATGAGCCTTGCCAACTTCGTTCTGACGAGACTGGTGAAATCTGTACCAACGTCCAAACCGATCAGCGCTGAGTCCACCGGGTTCCTTCGCAACTTCGTTGACTCTCTGGCGAAGCATGCCAGTGCAACCGGATCTGGCATGGACCACGAAGACACGCTGTTGGATCTTGCAGCGGTGTTGAATTTCGGAGCTGCACCAGGACTACGTTTCTCTTTCAGAACCCGACCACATGTTTTTTTTTTGAAACGACGGTGCCCTCAATTCATCCACGCTTGAACTTGGACTCAGACTGTCAGACTACTTAAAAGCATAGTGACTTGACTTGGGATTCCTGGGGTCCTACATTACTGCTTTCTATCTTTCTATAATTCAATAATAATTCATAATTCATAATTCTATACTTTAGTAAGCTTTAGTACCTTTAGTAACTTTAGTTCTTTAGTAACTTTAGTACAGTACCTATATAGCCACTATACGACTATACCTTTACTATACTATACTTTGCTAATTACTAATACTGTACTGTTAACTTACTGTTAACTGTTTGGTAACTCTTTAAACTTTAAACTCTTTAAACTTTAAACTTTAAACTACTTTAAACTTTAAACTTTAAACTTTTAGACTCTAGACTCTAGACTAGACTCTAAAGTACTCTAAAGTTTAGTTTTAAGTTTTATATTTTAAAGTTTAAAGTAGCTAAACTTTAAAACTTTAACGCTTTAACTTTAAACCTTAAACTTTAAACTTTCAATCTTCTTTAAAATCAACTTTAATATCTTTGAAAATATATTAATATACTACTATACTCAGTATAGTATACTCATACTCCATTGCTTTACTAACTAAAACAATATAATAACAGTAACAGTAAAATCAGTAAAATAAACCTACAATTCATTTCAATACTTTCAATACTATACTAACACTTTTTGCAATTTTAATATAATAATAATTTTAAATAATAATACATCGTAACATATTTGAATATTTATAGTAATATTTATCAATAGCTTAAATTTAGAATATAGTATTTTTTTAGTAATATAGTAATATAGTATCCTTGAACAAATGACACAGGACGGGTGATCAAATTCTGCGAGAACCTGGACAATTCCGAGCACTGGGCCGTTCAGGCCCTTGCTTCAAAGGAGGGCAAGAAGATCACCCAGGCCATGCTAGAGAACGCGCGCAAGCGCGAGTCAAACACGAAACTTCTTGAGGCGATTGAAACTGCAATTCGGGAGCAGCTTGGCAAATCAGATGTGGCCGGGCTGGGAACATCCGATCATCTCAGAAGCTAAGTGTTTTTTGTGTGACATTGCCATGTTGATGTGCTGATTTGCAAAATGCAGTTGGAGGAGGGCCCAGGGGATATGTGATTTGGTCCTATTTGGGCATTTTTGGGATCGCATTTTCATTATCCCCCAGGGTGGTGTGCCATTGTTTCCGTTTCCGGGTTCCGTGTTGTCTTGCGTCTTCCATTGTTTACTATTAGTCATTAGTTATTAGTCTACTAGTGAGTCTGTTAGTCTTTTAGTACTTGTACCCACATTCACGCTGTACTTATACCAAGACCAACACTAATTAACTGAACTGCATTTAGTTTAAGAATCGAGTCGAATCCAAACCTTAGCCTGGGCTTGGTCCTTCCCCAGAATGTCCAGATCTCTTCCACCTTCTTGCCTAGGCTGGAGAAGACAGGACTTTGTGAACCAGGCATTGACTTGGAGCAGGTGAAGGATCGCTTCACTGCTGAGCATGGAAAGCTCGTCAACACTCATTACACATTCGTCAGCACCAGTAGCTTCAAGTGCCTCAAGGGAGCTGAGCGTGACAGCGTGACAAAGCTGCGAGAGACAACACGGGCAGCAGCCCAACTCATCGTGAGCTCCTTCATCCACAACGATTTCCTGCCTTACATGAGCGACCTTGAGAGCGGATTCACCTTCAAAAAAGCCAATGTGAATCCAGTCCTGACTGATGAGTCATGCCTTTGCCAACTTCAGGGTGGTGCTTTAGGCAACGGCAGTGGTCAGGTGATCGAGACTTTCAAGGAGTTCAGCGTTTTCATGAAGGACTTAGCAGCCACAGCCGCTTTGCTTTTCGATCCCGACAACACTGAGGGCATGGAGGCAGTCAAGGCCCAAACGTGGGTTCGCAAGTGGCAAAGCCAATCTGGTTCGCTGCTGAAAGCTGTGGAGGCATTCGAGAAGACAGCGCCGGCCAGTTCTGAGCAGGATTCTGTCCTTGCGGCAACTATGATCCTTGACACAGCTAACCTTGATGGTACTTTTTGATTTTCCATGGTTTTCGTCTTATGATTTGTGTTTGAGTGAGTGAAGACTCACCAAGACATTCAAATTCAAATCATTCAAACGTCCGAAGTCCAAAGTTGAACTTCAAATTTGCAATTATTTATTTTTACAGTTTTACAGTTTTACAGGATCTACAAACAAATATATATTACAAATATACAGACAAATTTCAACTTAAACTTACTTACTTTAACTTTAACTTTAAACTTTAACTGTAACTTTAAACTTTAAACTTTAAACTTAAACTTTAAAAACTTTAAACTTTAAACTTTAAACTTAAACTTTAAACTTTAAAATACTTTAAAACCTTTAAACTTTTAAACTTTTAAACTACACAAACAAATACGGTCCAAATACGATTTCGATTCAACGAACGAATCAAAACTCAAATTGACACGGTAAATATTTAGTTATGTTAAGGGCCAACAGTGCAAACAGTCAACTTCGAACCTTCCTGATTCCATGATTCATTCCTCAACTTTTTTGATTGATGTCATTTGCCGCCGCTTGACTGTGATAAGGAAAGGTGTGGTGGACAACATGGAGACGTGTGTGCAGGAGATCTTTGGCGAGCAGCTGCAATCGAAAGCTGCTGAGTGCACCAAACCAGGATTCGATTTGCTGCATGGATTTCTGGAGGATGAAGGGTTCCTGACAAAGGAGCGCTTTGCGGAGTTCAAGAAGTGTTTTGAAGAGGCATGCCTTATCGCAACAGCACTGCCCAAAGGCGACGCGTTCAGAGCCGCGCTTCCGACTATGTCCGAGTTGGTGGAGATGGCCTTCCTTTGCCATGGTCCCGAGAAAGATTCCGTGACAACAAAGTATGCATTCATCAAGCAAGCAAATCTCTGTGCTGAGAAAGGTGAAGGTGAGGTGATGGATGCACTCACCGATCTTGCCAAGGTCACCACGCTGCGCGAAGATGCGAAGCTGCTTGAGTTGGCTCATTTGCACGGGAAGCTTGTGGCCCAAGGCAAAGAAGTATTTGTGCAGCTTCGGGAAGCTTTCGTGCAGAAACTGGATCAAGCTACAGTGAAGATCTCCATTCCGAGCGAAGTGGAGACGATGTGCACATTGGACTCCATCACCTCGGAATTTTTGGACAGTCAGTTCAACATGAAGACATCGTCTGCCGTGTCGGACAAGGCCATCAGCATGAGCACACTGCTTCGCGACGTGTCGGTCGCTTGCTCCTACATGGGCATCAAAGCCGATGACTTCCTGGACCTTAAGCCCTACGAAATCAACAACCGCGAGGGGCTCACCTTTTTGTGCCTTGACAATTTTGGATGTCTTGGGTTCTTTTGGCTTCGCACAGTGCTTCGGATGATTCGGATGTCTTGGATGTGATGTGCTGAATGTTTTGTACTTTTACTTTACTCTACCTATACTAGACCTTACTTTACTTTACTATACTATACTATACTACTATACTAACTATAACTGAGACGAGACTGTGACTGTAACTATACTACTATATTCTATTCTATACTATACTATACTATACTATACTATACTATACTATACTATACTATACTATACTATACTATACATAATAATATAATAGTCAATAGTCAATATCACTATACTATACACTCACTATACTAACTATTTACCGTTTACCTGCTGACTTACAACTTATATAATAATTATAATTTATAATAATAATTATTATTATAGGTATAAGTTATAAGTTATAATTAGTTATACTCGTCTGTACACGCGAAAAGGATCCTCTTCATCCAATTAATTCATCTATATAAGTTCATAATGTTCTACAACATCACCTTTTATTTTCTCCATGTCTATCCTCTACAACATCACCTTCTTCTTTTTATTTCCCACATCAACAGCATCATCCACATGTATTGGCAACAGCCATGTTATTTAAACTTTTCACAACCTGCAGGATATTACCGGCATCATCCATCATTTACAAGCAGCAAACCAAGAAGTCGGGGGGCGTAAGGTTCCAAGATAAAAACCTATAGGGTTGCAAATGTTCAAAGGACAAGTGCCTATAGGAAACGGTTGTGGGCCTTGAACAGGGCATACTAACAGTACTAACATCTCATGGCATCTCACTCCTTCTTCTCTACCCCTTTTCATCTCATCTCATCTCATCGCATTTCATCCTCATCTCATATCACCACCGGTAACTGATCATGAAAGAGTAGTGCCTGTGTTTGCCGGAGAGCAAGAAAGATGATCAGGTTGCGTGTGCCTGTGTGTGAACAGGAACATGAACGTTATTACCCCACCCCACCCCACCCCAGCGGTAACTGATCAGCCAAGAGGTTTGGTGTGCCTGTGTGTGCACAGGAACATGAACGTTATTAGCCCACCCCGCCCCACCGGTAACTGATCAGCCAAGAGTAGTGCCTGTGTCTGCAGGACAGCAAGAAAGATGATAAGGTTGCTGTGCCTGTGTGTGAACAGGAACATGAACGTTATCACCCACCCCACCCCACCCCATCCCCAGAAAGGTGCCTGTGTCTGCTGGAGAGAGGAACGATGATAAGGTTTGCTGTGTCTGTGTGTGCACAGGAACATGAACTCTATTAGCCTTGCCCACCCCACCCCATCCCCGAAATGTGTGTACAGATGAACCGGGTCTGTGTGTACAGATGACCCTGATTTGTGTGCGCAGATGACCCTTCATCCTCTACTATATAACTATATGCTTCTATTCTATACTATTCTAAATATATTCTATAAACTATAAACTCTTTTGTTACTCTACTATACATACTATATCTACTATATAAATACTATTATATACTATACTATACTATATAAACTTAACTTATACTATAAACTATAAACTATAAACTTTAAACACTATATATATAAATACTAAATAAATATTATTATTTAATAATTTAATATATATATATATATATACATAGTATCAAACTTTACTACTATATACTTTGTACACTAATTGTATAGACTCTAGGCTCCAGACCCTAGACTCTCAAACCCACTGACGGACCGAAAGGTGGTTGAAGCTCTGAGTCTCTCCATATCTCCATCTCTCTCTCTCTCTCTCGCTCTCTGTTTGCCTTCTTTTTGTGTCTCTCTCTCTCTCTCTTTCTCTTCCTATTTCTCTCTCTCTCTCTCTTTCTTATTCTGTCCTCCTCTCTTTCCGTCCAATTTGCTTCCTCATAATTTGGTCCGGACCTTTTTTGGACACATTTGACATGTGGCTACATGTGGCCGATTGATGCTAATTGAGGCCAGTATTTTTGTTGAAATTAGAAATTTAGGCAATTTGATCCAAGCCAAGTGCTTGTGCGCGCGGTCTAATTTACATTTAGATTGGTTAACGTTATCGTGCCAGTGAGGCGAGCATGCTGGCCAGAACAGGGCTTTCAGGGCATTCGTTGGCTCGGTATATGTACCAGTCAATGAAGCTCCGGAAAGAGAAGGACCCTAGGGACGGGTTTGCTTGCTACGCCTCACGCGACATCATTTTTGTGTTGGTTCCTCCGCGCAGCCTGGTGTTTCTCATACATGCGCTCCTGCACCTTCCCCAGCGCGCCCATACCGCTTCGCCTTTGTCTGTTGGTCACTGCTGGTCCCTTGTTGTTGTTGTTGTTGTTGTTGTTGTTGTTGTTGATGTTTTTCAAGGGCAGGCCGGTCAGCCAGCCAGCATCACTTCATGGGGGAGCCGCAAAGCCCGTGTGTGAAGAAGCGCCTTTGCGTGGAAGACCATGTTGTTCTTCAAGCAAGGGCGCAGTTCGCACGGGCTCTCTCCCTGCCCTCCCCACGGAATGGGCATGCTTTGAGTGCAGCACCAAAGCAGAGCTTGCTGGCCAAGCCCGCAAGGGACCTGCACGAGATTCATCCTCCGCCCGCCCCTCTGAGAGCTTACCGGTTGACTTCGGCAGGCGGGCGGGCTGCAGAGCTTGTGGATGGCATGCTGCGGGCAGCGAGGTTGGTTTTGGCATGTTTTTGCTGCAACCCCAACCCCTTGTATATGCAACTCACACACTCCACCACTTGTGCTCTGTGGTGATTTTTGGGCTTGCGGCCGGCTCCGCTTGCCCTGTCGGCCACCCGTCAGCCGCATGCTTCTGAACCATAACACAGGGTCAGGCAAGACCCTGTGTATGGTGAGGATGCTGGACAACTTCTTTACGCTTCTGCAGCGATGTGTCACGTTGCGTGGCGTCGCTTCATCTGAAGCTGCTTTTACGCCGACTCGTCGTTAGACCCAAGGTTCCTCCCTGATGCTGTGAAAGGGGCAGAGAACCGGGGTCTTCCGGACGAGGGGCATTTGCCGTCCCACCACAAGCGTGGTGAGAGGATCCTTTTGCAGCAACAGGTCCCTTTTTTGCGCAGCACGTTTTTTTTGCACATATGCATGCGGAAGCGGAGGGCTCCAGGATCACTTGGGTGGCGCAGCCGTCGCCATCTCCGATGGCCTTTGGCGTCTCAAGCCTTGGGTGATGCTGCAGCCCGGGAAGTCTTCACCTTGCAACAAGCCTCCCGTTGTAGAGGCTGGCAAAGATGAAGCCCCTAAATGTAAATGAAACTACCAAATGCCTTGGCTTCAAAATGGGTTCCCCAGTCTCCCCCAGGGGCAGATTCCTGCTTCAGAAGTTTGGCGGAGTTTGAATGCATTTTTCGGTGCAAAATCTGTGCGGTGCAAAAGTGCAAAGCAGTTGGCATCAACAGGTTTCAGCACAGGAAGGCAGGCAGGCAACACATGTTTCAACATATTTCAGTTTAAGTTTCAGTGATTATTTCAGTGTCAGTGACTTGAGACTTGAGTGAATGTCTAATGATTCTATCTACTGCCAATCAATCACGTTTTGACCGTTTTGACTCATTTTGAAAATACAATTACTATAGTGGTGTGATCCCCGCCATGACAAATTTTCTGCATATCTTCTGGCAGTCTTCTGGCATTCTATCTGGCAAATCTTCTGGCATTCTATCTGGCATATCTTCTGGCATCTTCTGGCATTCTATCTGGCATATCTTCTGGCAGTCTTCTGGCATTCTATCTGGCAAATCTTCTGGCATATCTTCTGGCATTCTATCTGGCATATCTTCTGGCACATTCTATCTGGACATTCTTCTGACATTCTATCTGGCATATCTTCTGACATTTTTTCTGGCATTCTATCTGGCAAATCTTCTGACATTCTATCTGACATATCTCCTGACATTCTTTCTGGCATATCTTCTGACATTTTTTCTGGCATTCTATCTGGCAAATCTTCTGACATTCTATCTGACATATCTTCTGACATTCTATCTGACATATCTTCTGACATTCTTTCTGGCATATCTTCTGACATTTTTTCTGGCATTCTATCTGGCAAATCTTCTGACATTCTATCTGACATATCTTCTGACATTCTTTCTGGCATATCTTCTGACATTCTGTCTGGCATATCTTCTGATATTCTTTCTGACATTCTTTCTGGCATTCTATCTGGCATATCTTCTGACATTCTATCTGACATCTTTTCTGACATTCTTCCCGTTGAGGTCCGGCAGTGCCCACTGCGATCTGGAAGTCTTGGTTGAGGTCCGGAAGTGCCCACTGCGATCTGGAAGTCGCGGTTGAGGTCCGGCTGTGCCCACTGGGATCTGGAGCTCGCGGTGGAGGTCCGGCTGTGCCCACTGGGATCTGGACTGCGAGGAGGAGGCGGCGGGTGAGGAGGCGGAGGAGGCAATGGAGGCGGAGGAGGAGGAGAACAGCTCTGATAAAATCTAACAACCCTCACCTGGCACGTGGGGAAAAACTTGACAAACACAACTGAAAAGACAAGTATCAGTATCAGTATCAGTGTCAGCGTCAGTGTCAGTAACAATTACTTTCAATTTCAATCTAAGTTGAGATCAAATCAACATCATTCAGTGGTGCAATAAATGAATTGCCAACTTGTGGTTTTTTGGGACATGCAGGCAGGTGGGTTTAGGTAGGTAGGTCGGTTGGTTTGACATTTTCAAAGTTGAAAAATTAAAAAATAAAAATTAAAAAAATGAAACAGGACAAATATTTTGGTACGGTAAGCTGGTTGTTCCAAGCACATGACCTGCCCCATCCATTCTATCCCATTGATCTATGCACGGGCAGTTTCCCATGAAAATGCATTCGCAAATGTTTTAGTTTTTAGTTATTTTAAAGTATTTTAAAGTTTGAGTTTTTTAGCATTATCTTGAAAAGGCAGACAAATTGACATTGACGGCCGTTGTGAGGCTGGAGCGGGTCAAACTGCGTAGTGGCACTGTCAACGCACAGCATCTGGGCCCTGGATGTGCCTCAAAGATTGGCCGCCTACACCACAGCAGCGGACTTGGCAAACAAGGCTCGGCTTCAAGTTTGGGAAACCGCATGCCTGCTTTACGGCTTGCCATTTCATTCACTGCATGATAATATGGAAAGCATCTGCCCATGTGATGGCTTGACATTGATGAAATCCTTCTCGCTAGGTTTCGTGGCTGAAAGTGATGGACCTGCCGCTCGAGAACCAAGAGGCCGAGGATGAAAATGGTGAGGATGATGACGAGTCGGATGACGAAGACCCTGAGGAGCTTCACAAGGCTCTTGTCTGCTGGCCCCAAAGGCAACCAAGTCATGATTTTCATTGAAAATCATGACTTGGTTGCCTTTGGGGCCAGCAGACAAGAGCCAATTTTCAAGACAGAAGGGTCAGAAGGCCACCCGGCAGAAGTCCTCTTGTATGAATTGAGTAAGGTCAAATTGTAATCGGGAAGATTTGGCAGAAGGTTGCGTTATAGATAGGCCACGTATTACATCTTTCATAGCCTTGGACCTTGGATGAAAAAATAAGGCAAGTGCCTATATATCTAGTCTAGTCGGGCATCCATAATTCTTTAAACTTTAAATTAAACTATAATTAAACTTTAAAAAACTCTTAAACTTTAAAATTTTAAACTTTAACTTTAAACTTTAAACTTTAAACTTTAAATTCTTCCTTTCCACCAAATCAATAGTATGTAGTAGTGTAGTAGTAGAACGTTGGTGCTTCAAAACTCAGGTTTCGGTTTCTGCTTGAAACCCTGGCTGCTTGTGGAGATGTGTATGTATAAATCAATCTATATCTTGGTCCACCGAATGCCCCAAAATATTTTTCGACGCGAAAAATGCGCCACTATACTATACTATACTATACTATACTATACTATACTATACTATACTAACGATACTAAACTATACACGTTTTAATAAAAACAAATAATATTCGTTCTTCAGTTGGAACTGCGCAGCAGGGTTCAAACATGTTCAGGTGTATCGGGAACCTGATGCACTGTCTCGCCAGCAAATCGATTCGGCGAGCTGCTGAGCGTGGGCAGAGGCCATCGGACGCAGCGATCAACGCCTTGAAAGAGGCACTCCACGCAGCGAAAGAGAACAATGTCGAGCTGCCAGCGGCGTTGCAAGCGCTGGCTACTGGCTTCACCTCCAAGTGAAGAGATATATAATATATTATATTATATTACTAAGACTAAGACTAAGACTAAGACCATATTATATTAATATTATATTATATATTATATTATTATATTATATTATATTATACGTCTAGACCCGTCACAACACTAGTCCGACTTTGTGAAATGACTTGGAGGTGTAGCTCTGCCGATCCATGGCCGAGCTTGGGCGCAGCTGCAGCTTCATGCTTAGCTGCAAAGGGGGTGCTTGGGTGTGAGAGGCCAAGTACGGTTTGTCGTACGGCCCTTTCTCCTTTCCTTTCCCAAGCGTTGCCGAGACTTGGCCTGTGCCGCCTGGGGTCTTGTAACATTGACTCTCAACTAATTGTTGCAAGTGCAATGGTTTTCATTTTTCATTCCATTCCCACAGGTCTCAGATTTTATGCCAGCTGGCCTCTCCTCCTTCTCCTTCGCCTTCTCGTCCTCCTCCGCCCAACCCTCTGCCGGATCCTCAACTGCAAGCTCGTGATCGCAGTGGTTTCCGCTGGACCCGGGCAGCAGGCTCTAGATTGCTGTGGTCCCTGCCGGACCCGAAGCTCAGGATCAGATCGAGTGGTCACCGCCGGACCTCGACCACGAAGAATTGCGAAGATTTCCTCAGATAGCCGCCAGAAAGAATGTCAGACGTTAGATTAGAATCAGAAGATATGTTGGTAAGTACGTCGAAATAGTCAGAATATATAGGTGCCAGATACAATGCCAGATAACATGTCAAAGTATTTGCTGCAATAAGAATGCCAGATAGAATGTTGGATAGAATGCCAGAATGAATGAATTTGGGATTGAACTGAACAAATAAATAACCTTTGGGCCTTTGCTTTGCGTGGGGTTGGGCTTGGCATTATGATACATCACATCATGCATCCCACGTTTGTGAAAAGCGTGCTTTCTGCCTTGGCTCCTTTTGTGTTTATCAGTTGGCAAGTTGGCTCTCATGGTGGGATCCTACGTATTATTAAAAATAAAATTCTGTGGAAGCAGTGTGCAAGTCTAAAGGTCCCAAAGCGCAATGGATAGAACATTGACATTGCTGATGATGGGCGGCCTCGATATTGTTTTTTTCTTTCCAAAACCTTCAAAGATTCAAATGTTTGCATCGAACCGAACCCGACTTGCGCTTCGCGCCGTGGGCACCAAACACGGTTTCACAGTGGCAGTGGGGATCACTCGAAGAACGTAATTTTGTTTTTTTTGAAATATGGGATACTTGATGATATGATGAATATGATGCAAAACTAAATTGACTTGACTTGATTGACTGGTTATCAGTTTCAAGTTGCAAGTTTCAAGTTTCAACTTTGCAAAAGCGAAGCGATGTGCGATGAAAGGATCGACCAGGCCAAGGATCCGGCTGGCTCTAGAGTCATGACCCAGCACACGGGAACATGCTATCAATTTCTGAAAAAAATCTGCGGATATTTGCTTCTTTATCCTTCGTGTGGCCCTGTGAGCAACATGAACATCTGTTCATGGGTGAAGTTGGAAGCACCCAACAGGCGCAGGCAATGGGAAACATTGCTCAGTTCCAAAAGATGATGTGTCCATCACGTGACACCATGTGAACGTGAACGTGTGCATTTCATTATTTCATTTTTTTTTCAAACCACTGCTATAGTCAGCGCCTGTCAATACTGTGGGCCACACAGGGCTTTTCACACGTCGCCACGTCGCTGAGAACTTGCAACCAGCTAGGGGGGTTGGTTTGCTGACGTTGCAGTCACCGGAATATCAGCAGCTGAAAATTTGTCGAGGCCGTTTCCTGGTTCTTGGTTCCTGGAATCTAGATTCCTGATTCCTGATTCCTGGCATGGTTTTTTGGACCAACCATTGACCAAACCGGTTTTGATGATTTATGCATATGTCGCAGAATGCGCAACAAGTGAGCAGCTGAACGTGAAGAACGAACTGAGTAACACACTGACTAGTTCGGCTCAAGAGGCTCAACATGAAACTTATTGCATTCAGATTTCAAGCCCTTTGTCATCTGTCACTGCCATTGCCAGTATGATCGCTGTAACTGCCACCAGCTGACCAACTATATTTAAGGTAGTCTTTGAGTGAGTTGTGTTGCTGTTTTTTGAGATCTGTTCTATCTTGACTCTCATGACGCTCGTGGCTCAGAGGGTCTCGCCGGAACACGAAGAGAAATTTACAACTTTACAACAATAGACTTGATCCGTCAAGCATTTCAGTGCGACAGCGCGATGGATCCACATTCCAAAACAACGGAACTCAGCCATCTTAGACGTGACTGCAACACCGTAACTTCCGTAACCCATACCTGACCCGAACTGAGAAATTTTATAGACAGTTTCAAATGTCAAATGATGTTTCATTGCTTCATTATTTCACTATTTCACTTGACCATTTCACCATTTCACCTTCATCCGGGATTCATCCGATTTCATTTTTTCCTGCCGCAATGGGCAGAAAGCCTGCTCAGAAGGATGGGCAGCCGCTGGCAAAAGCTTTTGCCAAGGGTGCTGCTGCAAAGCAAAAAGCGCCCGCTGCAAAGACCGCGCCAAAGACCAATTCGCGGCAAGACCAGGCATCTTTGAAAGTCTTGCCAGTGGTGCCAGAATTTGGTGACACAGCTTCCAAAGAAGCTAGTGGCAGTGCACCTCATCAGGCAGTTCCACCTGCAAAGAGAAAAGAATTTGCAGAAGGCTCCAAAGATAGTTTTGGCCAGGCTTTGGCCGCCGGCGCAAGTGATGAGGGTCACTTGGAGCCACATAAGCGGCTTTGTTTGGAATCAGCTGCACAGACGGCTGAGAAGGCAGTTATTGAGGATTTGGTTAGGGCTCAGTTGGACAAGGCCAATCAAGAGCACCAGAGCACAGGACTTGAAGTGGATACCGGAGCGGAAGGAACAATCTCAAAGTCTTCATCTACCGCTCTTGGTGCTGTTGGCGCTGAGCTTGGGAACAATGATGAGGTTAGGGCTGCAGTTGCCGCTACCGAACCGTCGAAGGGCAGCAATGAGAAATGTCCAGATGTCAAACCTGAGGTCAAGCCTTCTAGCCCACCGCAAGAAGGCAAGTCAAAGAATCCGTTACTGGAAGAGACTCAGTCTGCAGCCTTGGCAGAGGCAAAGAACGCAGGAGAGGAAGCACAAGCAGCAACAGTTGAGAAAAAAGATGAAGATCCGGCCTCCTCGGCCCCACTTGAACCCACGGCAGAAAAAGATGATGCTCTTTCTTCAGCTGTGAAGGGTGAAGGTGCAGATGATGGTCAGCGTCAGGATCAGGGTGGTGACCTTCCTTCCCTTTCTTCTTCAGCTTTGCCGCCAAGTGGAGGAAGTGTGGCCAATGAATCGTCAAAACATGGTGATGCTGGGGACTCTTCGGCTTTGCAGCAACAAGGAGAAGAGGATGTCACAATGGACCCTCCGCCGGAAGAGGCTCAGTCTGCAGCCTTGCCAGACAGAAAGAACGCAGGAGAGGAAGCACAAACAGCAACAGTTGAGAAAAAAGATGACGATCCGGCCTCCTTGGCCCCACGTGAACCCATGGCAGGAAAAGGCGGAAGTGTGGCCAATGCATCACCAAAACAGGATGATGCTGGGGACTCTTTGGCTTTGCAGCAACAAGGAGCAGAGGATGCCACGATGGACCCTCCGCCGGAAGAGGCTCAGTCTGCAGCAGTTGGAGATTTCGTGGACATTGCCGAGTGCTACAGGGAGAGAATTTTGCAAGAGCTTCTGGAGATGACGGATGAGTCAAGAAGAAAAGAGTTGGAGTGGGCTGACATGCACCCAGACTTGCATGAATACAACGCCAGTTTGAAAGAGAGGGGCTTGCAGGAACTTTCTTTTGAGGGTGGACGATACAAGGGTGGGTTTGGCAGCAACGCTTCTGTCCCATTGAGCGGGTTCATGGCGTGGCTGTGGGAAAAGGAGCAACGTGAGAAGGGCGACGACAGCGACGAGGATCACGAAGCTGAAGCTGGTTCCGGGAGTGATGCTGAATCGATCACAGCTTTGATTGAAAGCGAGATGAGCAAGATGGAATTTGACAAAAGCGAAGGCCATTTCGCTGCTGCCTTGCTTTCAATTTTCACAATCCATTGAAGAGTCACTTGAATTGTAGTTGCATTTTGGTGTAGTCGCAAGCCACTGTAGTTGTTGTCACTATATGGTCATACACTGTAGTCAGCACTACTGTCGTTTTGTGACTAAGGCTAGGGCTAATCAAGTTGTGTTCAATGTGTTCCAAGTCCCGATTGTGTTTCCTTGCAGAATCCCTCAAGCCGACTCAAACCCGAAGCGTTTCACGACTTCCAAACTTTCAACTTTCAAGTAAGTCTAGTCATCTAAGTAAGTTGAAAGTTGAAGTTGAAACATTGAAACTTGAAACTTGGTTGAAAGTTGTTCTGCCAATGTGAGAGTGAGTTTCTCCGGGCTGGGTTTTGTTTTTGTTTACTCGCTGTCACGATGTTTGCTGTTCAGGCCGTGGGCCATGGTTCAATTTGAAGGCAATGGCCAAGGCAGGGTGACGTAGCTGAAGACCGACTAAACCAACTGCAACTGCAACTGAACTGTACAGAGCTACTGTCTCACTTAGCTCTGAGGCTCCAATTACGCATCCGTCCGACATTTTTGTGCAAAAAACTAAAAAACTTAAAAAACTGTAACTGTAAAAACTGTAAAACAATCACTTCTACTAGAAACATGAGACTGCGTTGGCTCTTGATTCTTGTGATCCTTGCCCTTCCAACTTGATACCAGCCATTCCCCTGTCATATCCATATATGGTGATCGATCTAAAGGTCCTTGTAAGGAGTTTTAATTGCGAAAGCCGTGCATGTTATGTTGGAAACCCTCGCGGAATTTTTTTTTCGAGTTCGCGAAAGTAAAATTTTATTTCGCGAGCGAAAGTTGGGTATTATAATCATATGAATATATGAATCATATGTAAAGGGCTGCCACCCACTGCCGCCCGGGGTCCGGCAGGAGAAGGGCACCAGAGAATGCGAGTAGCAGTAGCCAAGTTTCCAAAAGTGAGGCTTTGCGAGAGCCAAACACCAAGGCCCCTGGTCTTCGCTTTTCCTTCAGTGCACCCCCTGCTGATGGCCGGGGTCTGTGAATAGGGATATTTTCGCGAAAGTTCCGCGAAAGTTATGCGAAAGAGCGGGCGGAAGTCAAAGTGCATGTTGAAGGGGGTGGGCCAGTAAACTTTGCAAAAAAAATCTGTCCTGAGAAGGGATTCCGTGATGCTAGCTGCATGTTTTTAAAAGGCTACCAAGAAGTGATCCGTGATTCTTTGGCGTAATTTGGCAGGTGGTGGTGAACGAATCTTCATAAGAGGTGTTGTTGGCCGACGTGGGCCCCGCGAAAGATAAACATGGAGTTCTGAGTTCGCGAAAGTTTTAAGTTTTTAACGGGTTTTACGTTTTTTTTACGGTTTTTTACGGTAAACTTTTGTCCTTTTTAGGACATGGCAAGACAAGTGGAGAGGCAAGCCTTCTCCTTTTCTCTCATTGTGGAGAGGCAAGCCTTCTCCTTTTCTCTCATCATTTTAATCACTGTATATAGCACATATATATAATATATATAATAATTATAATATTATATTATATTATATATATAATATTATTATATAATATTATAATATATATATATATATATTACACACTGTTACTGTTACTGTTACTGTTACTGTTACTGTTACTGTTACTGTTACTGATATACAGTCAGTCAGTGATAGTTAATATAAATCATCCGTCCATGCTTTGACCAAGCTGTTTGTGAGGAGCAACTACTTGCCCTGGAGTCCAAGTTTGGTGATGAGGAAACTACGCGCTGGTGGAGGGGGCTTCCGAAGCGGATCAGGATCATGAGCGCTTGTAGCGGAACAGGTATGTTTGAGCTCTGCCTCCAGAGGGCAGTGGAGGAGATAAATTCACGATTGGCACATTGTGGCGAAGAGGAAATTCAGGTGGGTTGAGCCAGTTGTTTCGGCTCCACTTTCTTCAAGACTTCTTGCCGACCCCCTCCAAATCATGGAGTCGCCAGGTTTCGACTTTGTTCTCCTGCGAGAACGTGGCAAACAAGCAGAAATTCCTCATGGATCATGTGCTTCCCAAGCAGGCCGATGGAGTTTCGGATTGGGTGTCGGTTTAGGTTTCCAGCTGCCACAACTGTCGTGCCATGTCCTTTGTTGTATTGTATTGTTGAGTAAGGAAAGCAGGAAGGTTTTGTTATCAGTTATCAGTGATATGAAACACGTGAGTAGTTTTGTTTTGCAAGTGGTATAAAATGATCAGTGATCAGTGATCAGTGATCAGTCATTTTCTGTTTCACTTGACTTTGTTGTTTCTTGGTGGCCGGGGCTTGACGCCTGACCTTGCCAAGGCGTGCTTGTTCAAGGACATCACAAAGATGCATGGAGATCAGCGATTTTGCTGCGTCCATGAACGGTCGTGTGCCCCTTGACTTTGTGAGCCACTGGTCACTTGGGAGTCTGGAAATCAGAATTTTAGAGTCACTGAGTCACTAAAGTCACTGAAAGAAAGACACCAGACTTGTTATCAATCCACTTTTACACTCACTGACTCAATGTACAACTTTTCAATTGTTCGGATCTCCACCATGTAGTCTCTGAGTGTTTGAACATGCCTGAGTGAGATGGCAGAATATAGCATATGTTTGTTGTGTTTGCTTCGCGCGATTTGTGAGGACATGCCCAAGTGTGGACCTGATGATGACATAGCCTTCACCCTATCTATTTTTTGCGCAGGCTTCTCGTGTAAGCCACGGCCTCATTTTTTTTTGCTTGCAGCTTGCAGCGACTTGTGTTCATTGGTCATGGTTCGGTCCATGGTCTTGGTGTGGACGCATCATTTCGAACAACTTTGAAATCTGAGAGTTCTCAGACTTTGAACTTTGAATCGAAACACAGTTAATGCAACTTTGTCAAGGATTTTTTTCATTGGTCATGGTTCGGTCCATGGTCTTTGTGTGGACGCATCATTTCGAACAACTGAGAGTTCTCAGGCTTTGAACTTTGAATCGAATCGAAACAAAGTTAATGTAATTTTGACTTGACTTGAAATTTCCATTCTTGCCTTGCACGCAGTGCCAATGCGACTGGAGGTCATATTCTCGGATGAATATCAACTACAAGGAATTGAAATCAGCGATGGCCGACAACAAGGCTGGGGGAACACCAAAGTGGAACGCAGTCTTGCGCACTGGACACTATTGCAAACAGCAAACAGTTGATTCGGTTAACATTGACATGTTGTCATGTTGTGATGTGATCCCGCATTGAACTCATGTCTGAGAGATCATTGAAGTTTTTGGCATTTCAAATCATTTCTGGGTAACATATTTAGGAGATTTCATATTTGATTTCCGACTGAATTAGTTTTCTGCAGCATTTCACTGCAGCACGATATATTCGATTTAAAAAAAATCAAAGGTTTCTCAGAGTTGTCAGTCTGTTTGTCAGATGGAATTCGTGTTGCCACTGCTGTACTGCACATTCTTCTTCGAACTGCCGAAGTCTGACTAACTTCTACTACCCTCTTTTCTCGCCACTTTGCCATGAGGATTGCAGCTCGGTCAAGACCTTTGACGGAGTCTCCAAGGTGCTGGAGGAGCAGAAGCCAGCTGCATTCATCTTGGAAAACGTTGACATGGAGCCGAGCAAAACCGGGAGCAGCAAAAACCAAGATGGCAAAGATCAGCCCCTTGAACTTTCAAGATCCAGCAGTTGGCACTTTGAATTGGAATTTGAACGCATGTTTTTGAAACTTGAGAGTCCGGTAGCTACTGGGTCAGTGTGAACCCTGCGCATAGGACATAGGGCCGACATAGGGTGATGAATTTTGGAATCATTATTTCCTGTCAGTTCTCTCGGTATTCAAGTTTCCGAGCTTCAAGTTTGATGCAACCACCTTCAACCAACTAAAAAAAACACTTGTCACTTTACTGACCCACCCAACTAGCAGTTAAGACTAAGACTACTTATAGACTCTTAAGACTTAAGACTTAAGACTCAAGACTTGACTCAAGACTCAAGACCCAAGACCCAAGGCCCAAGAGCCCAAGACCTTTAAAACACTGATTGACTGACTGACTACGATGTATGACACATGTATGATGTATGTTTTCTTCTTCAGGCATCAGGATGGAAGTTAACTTGCCGTTTCATCTCATCGATTGCGGCTTGGTTGGTTTCAGATTCCAATTTGGTCCAGACTGCAGGTCGAACCTCGGCCTGGTGTTGGCCAGGCTGCAAAAATGCGGATACACAGTCAAGACAGCAAAGCTGCGGTCAGACTCCTTTGGGCTGCCGCAGCGGCGTTGCAGGCTGTACTTTTTCGGCGTGAGGCAAGTTGAGAGGATGAATGGGAACAAAGTACTGGAGAACCTTGAGGGCTTGCTCGAAGCCATGCAGTGCCCTTTGCGGTTCACTCCAGCCCCTTGTCGGAGACTGAAGACGGGCCAGGGCCAAGTGAAATCTGATGGAAAACAACAGCTAGTAACTGACGGATGATTGGTCAAAGTCAAGTCAAATCGTTTTGGAACAAAGGCAGAAGCCAGAAACAGCAGAAACAAAAAGCAAGTTCGCTTGATTCGCATGCATGCAAATACAGTCCCAGTCAGTGAGCCATGATCACATCATCTCTGACAGGCGGAGTTGCTCTATCCTTCAGACGATGCGCGCGTGACAGCTGAGCTGCAGCGACTTCAGGCAAAGAAGCTCAAATCAAAGACCAAGCAGACAGATGATGAGACGTCAGCTCGCTGGATGTCTACGCACAAGCAGCTGGCCGCGGACAGTTTCTTGCCAAATGTTAAGTTTCTGCTTGTTTTGTTTGGGTTTGCTGCTTGAGCCTGGTTGAGCGAACTTGGAGTCGAAACCGCACATTATTGACTGGCATTGGTTTAGTAATAGTAAGTTTAGTGAGTGTTTTCGTTGTGTACACCTGATTTTTATTGACCAGTGGTACCATCCAATTTCAACTTCAGTTCTTGCCTCCATCATTGCATCCCGCACAGTCACTGATCTGATATTGAGCTCAAACCGAATGGGTGTCTTTTTAGCTCAAGCTCAGAGGATCATTTGTGGCACTTGGCCCTCACTTGGCCCTAGTTGATTAGTGAAGCCATGTGATAGAATTAGAAATATGTTTGTTTATCAGTTTATCAGATTATCAGTAGTTTATTGAGTTTATAGTTATTGACAATTGAAGTTTATTATTGCTATTTATTACTAATACTGATACTGATATTGATACTTCCTATTTGAGTAGTAATAGATTCCATATGCCATATACACTCTGTGACTCTATACTTTGTTACGACGCTTGGGAGACAGCTTCAACCTGAAACATGGGAAGCCCAGGACAAATGGACTATCCCCTGAAGGTTTCGGAGAAGCTAGCTGGGGCTCCTTGGTTCCAGCTCCTTCAGAACCGGGAAAAGGAGGCGGGCAGTGAGCAGAAAACAAGTAGCACACACACACACACCATATACCTATGACGATGACTACCACTATCACTGACTATCACTAGACTATCACTTTATCTGTCTCATATATTATTACTATTCTACTAATTTACTGTACTATACTAATACTAATACCGATACCGAATAAATACCATTATACCAGGGGAAGGGAATGTGAGTTTGGTGACGATTGCAGTTGACTTGTCAATAATCTCACCCTCTCACCTCTTCTTTTGTTCTCTCTTGGCCCCTATAAAAGGCAGCGTGCGTGGTTCCCTCTCTTGTGTATGCTGTGCGCACCCGAAGCGTAGGTTATTTTAAGTTTGAGGGTTTCTTGAAAGGAAACCAATTTCAAACGATAAGACGATGTGAAACCAACCTTTGACCGAGGTGCTCAGGTGTGAACAAAGGTTTTGAATTTTCATGGCATACATTTTTTAAACAACGCATGCACGATGTTTTTATTCAGGGTGAGGTTGCTGAAGCAGCAACAATGCCAAATATTTGTGAACCAAATATTTTCTGATGATCCTGATGTATCAACAACATGGCACTTGACGCTTGCTGCAGGCAGTTTGCTTCGTTGAGGAATGGAACAGGGAGCGCCGTGGAAAGGGCGAGCCTTTGATCTCTTTTGTCGACATCAGTCAGACGGTGACCCGCATGGCGCAGTCCACCGAGGACAGCAAGGTGCCGAATTCAAATCTCAAACTCAAACTGGTGATATGCTGTAATAATGCAATTATGTTTTTGCAGCCACATCATCAGTTGATATCAAGTTGCTGACGTGAGTTTCAACATGCTTTTCCCGCTTCTGGAAGTTTATCAAGTTGCCAACTGGGGGATGGGTCAATGCCCATTGACCAAAATTTGGGGATTAACATCCATTGACAAGCTGCTTATGGTACATGGCTTTGACCCACAGCCAGAAAGATATTTGTGTTGATTGTTGCTCATTGAAATATACGAATTTCCAGTGCTCGATTGATCCATATACCAGGTACCTGACGGTTTTCCTTTAGATGTGTAGTATGCACCATTGGAAGTTTGCATGGAATGGAAAGGAAAGGAAAGGAAGGAACACTGTTCTGTTCGTCGTTGTTTAGGTGTGGGGTCAGGCCAACCTCGAGTGCAGGTGATTTTTTAGGGAAAGGGACGGCTTAACCACTAAGTACACGTGATTGCAGTTTCAGATTTCAACTCCTTGCAAATGAGGTCATTCCAACGGTGCTTCCCAGAGCGAAGTTTTGGAATGTTCCTCTGTGCCGATGGGTCATGGGCTGCTCAGCTCAACAGCGGGACTCTAAATTAAACTTTTTAAACTTAAAAAAAATAACTTTAAACTTTAAACTTTAAAACTTTAAACAAACTTTAAACTTTAAACTCTTTAAACTTTAAACTTTAAACAACTTAACTTCTTAAGCCGGTAAAACGGTTCATCCCAAGCATCAAGTGACAAGGTTGTTTTGCTGTCCATCGAAATCATTAGTCTGTGGTGTGCGCTAGCTCCACAACAATTGCAAGTTTCAACAACCATAGACTCGGGCCCATGATCTGCGTCGGCAATGCCAGCTTAGGTTCGGAGATGTTGAGATTCCAGGGCCTGTATGTGGAGGAGATGGCCTCCGATGTGACGGAGTCTGAGAAGCTGCTGGCTGACTTGGCAGGGAACGCCTTCAGCTCATGCTGCATTTCAGCAGCAGTTTTTGCGCTGTTGGCGTCCCTGCAATATGAGTCAGACTCGGAGGACGAGCAGCTTGCTGCGATCAGCCAGGCCTTCACGGCCGTTGCCCTGCTGGGCCGCAGGGTCCGAGGGGATCAGCAGTAGGTAAAAAGAATAGGTAAGTAGAGTATAAGAGCCAGAAGGTATAATGTAGAAGGTTGGACTGTCAGCCTTTCATCGCATCCCATCCTCTATCTATTATCAAGTTTCAATATCTTATCAAAATATAATATCAATAACGAAAAATAACAAAAATCAAGGCAGAAACACTCACTAAAGTCACTAAATAATTGATTCGATTGTTGTTTCTTAATTTTTAAATATCATAAAAACATACTTATCAATTATCAATATCAATTTCAAAAAAACATTCAAACTATAACTATAATTATATATATATTATATATATAATATATTACTTATTACTTCAAAACTTATTCAGATTCAAAACTATTGATATTTAGTTTATATCAGATTCAATTTTTAGTTATGATAAGTTCTTAAATCATTGATTCATTCTTCATTATTGGTTCTTCATGTTGCTTATTCTGCTTCATCTCTCTTTGCGACGGGCGAGGCTGGACAAAACAGTGAAAACCCCGGAAACCACCAACAAAAAACATGGAATCTTGGAAGAAGTACCGCTGACCTCTTGGGCAAGACTCTTGGGCGGCCTGTTGCTGAGACCAATCCCGTGCCGGCTGTGTGAGAAAAAAAATGCTCGCATGGAGTGGAACGTTTCCCATTTTATGGCTGAGTTGTTTTCATGTTCAATTGGTACCCTGTGGTTCAGACATATCGACGTGGGATCATATGGTTCCAGGCCTGAACAGAACATGTATTGGTATTGTATCTGAGTACCTAACTATGTACCTTGCATACTGCTACTGTGTACCTGGCACATCGCACGCATGTACCTTGCATACCGCACCCATGCATCTTGCACGCATGTACCTTGCGTGCCACACCCAGACAACATGCGTACCTTGAACGCTGTACCCAGTTGCCTTTCTGTACCTCAAATGTTGTACCCACGCACCCTGCGTACCGTACCAGTGCACCCTGCGTACCGTACCCCCGTACCAAAAGTAGCGTGCCGTACCAAAAGGTGAAAGCGTACCCAATCACTATTGCCATTTGACCACCTCTAGAGCATTACTCTTCAAGTTAGCTAAATCAATACCGATATTCAAAGATCACCAACCAATGGATTTTTGTAATACATCGATATTGGTGTTTATTTCACCAAACGTTATCAATCGTGTACCAAACAATAGACAAATTTATTCAACAAACATCTCATGTAATTTCGATATTTTCCAGGATAAGCATTGGTAATGTTGATATTAATCAATATCTATTGAAAACCATCAAAAACCATGGGTCAGTTGTTTTTTCCCAGGAGACCATAGAGAGAGTGGCCCGCCTTGAATCCTGTTGCACCTTGGTTTCATTTGGATTTGGGAGGCATGACCAGGTGCTGCTTGAAACACCGTGATATTTGTTTGGCTAGAGAAAAGAGGTGCTAATCAGCGCACGTGGCAGTGGCATTTGGAAGAACCCACCAGCAGTACATGGGAGGAACGAACAAGGCCAAGTTGATGGTCCGCGTCTGTGAACAGGACCTCAAGTAGTCTGGATACCCATATATTTCACCATATATATATATATAAATATATGTAATATAGGATATATATATATATATAAATATACCATATATATATATATATATAATATGTTTTTTTTAATGTTCATTTATATGATAGATATTCTATATAGAATATGTATACATGCATATATATGTATTATATATATATATATATGTTCTGTCATCTCCCTTGAACCTCGGCGCCATAGCAACAGCAAGTGACCTAAGGCCTTGCCACGGTGCCGGCCATGCGTGTCCAGCTGAACCATTTGGAACAACGCTTCGACTCCAGTGGCCGAGTTGGGACGTTCGCCCCTGGGCGAGTTTTGGAAGTTCGACCTGGAAATTTGCGTAAGACTTTTGGGGGGAAAGTGGTTCATACAATGTGGTGCCCCCCAGTTATGTTTATTGGTTTATAAACCCAATTGACCATAGTTTTTGGCATTTTTGTTGCGTAAACCATCGTGACATTGGAGTTAAATGTGGCCCCCAACTGAACGCGAACTCGTTTACGGGGGGCCCAAAAAAAAACGTAGAATTTTCCATGGGGAATCGGTTGAGTTTTCTGACGTTTGTGGCTGGGGTTGGGTTGCGCGCGTTTTGAGAAAGAGACCTACACCGAGGTGTTTTTGGTGGGTTGCTTGATTATACTGATTTTTAGCTTCTAATGAGGGTACTGTTGATATCTAACGACTTGGTAGTGGTTCATCCTACTTATTAAATAGGTTTGGCTAACCCTGCTTATAGTCCACTTGTAACCAGGGGTTAGAACCTATAACTAAGAGTTAGGGAAAATCTTGCGAGAAATGGGGTGGCCGGTGGGGTATGCCAATTTGTCCAACTATAAGTTTGTTTGGGGAACTGACATGGGCTGACAACTTGGATTGCGAGCATTCAAACTGAGGATATAACTATAGTGTTATGAAGCACTTGGAGGATGGGCATTTGGAGGATTACCCTCTGGTTATGTCAACATAGCTATTGAACATGACCATTGAAATAGTGGATTTTCCCATAAAAAAATTGTGATTTTCCATAGCTATGTTAAATTACTAGAGGGTACTGTATTTGTGATTATGAAATCTTATGCAGCAATGAATTGGTATTGAGCACAAAACCTGTTGATTGTGATGTTGTTTCATCCAGGTACGCTCCGGTAATCATCCATTTGTAGACGAGTTGCCCATTTAAATCTCCATTAATAGGCGGTTTTCCCATTACCATGTTTGATGAGAGGGTAAACCCCACAAAAATATCCCACCAGAATACTCCATTTATCCCATTGTTCTCCCATTCAATGACTATAGAATCCCTGTAGTTAATCCCTATAGATATATGCTCCATGGTGCTGGAATATTTACCTACATTTACCCCCAAAAATTGCCCAGTTTTGTAGGTAAATAATCCATACAAGGAGCATCTGGGTATAGATATATGTTATTTGAGGATCACGATAGATTTCAATGGCTCGACTCGGTGCAGTAGTTCTTCCACAGTATCCCCATATATCCCATGATAAATGGAATATGTCCATATATTTGAACATAACTAAGGAGCATCATCATCCATACTTCGATGGGGTCACAAGCCAAATCAAGCCAACAAACATCACTGGGAGCACCTTTTCGTGCGATAAAAACAACTTCACCAAGCTCCTAGGTGGACGCAGAGATGCAAAGCTTACGGGTGTGGGCTCCAAATCTGGTGTGTTTCTCTATCGTGTGACTGGAAATGGATACGTACAAGGTGCCCTCCAAGCTCGTGAAATCTTCATTTCTTTAGATTCACCCCAGTTTCACTAGTTTTATAGTTGGTTTAAATAATCCAATTTGGGCTAGGTAGTTCATATAAGGTTGTGCCTCTCTAGGTTTGTTTATTGCTTTAGAAGCCTCATGAAAACGAGTTCGATATCCAACAAAAACCATCGTGAGTTGAATTGGAATTATTGGACGGCCACTGTTTCAGCCATCTTGGGGGCACCTTGTGCTTTAAACTGGAAGGTAACAGACTTGGTGGTGCAGTTGGGGCGAAATAAATGGGCAATGACATGTACAGTTATGGCCATTTACCAGTTATAAGTACTGAACTAACCCCATTTATAGAATGTATAATCAGTATAATCCCATAGAAATAACCAGTTATGACTAATTAATAGCCATGGCCATGACATGTAATAACTATGAATGGCAATAACCCCGAAAAGTATGGTTTGCAATATATTTTTGTATCGACTTATAACTGGAACTGTAGTTCCAAGTATTGATCGCAATTAACTATTTATGGCCATGTTACTCAATAAGTTCGCAACACTTTCACAGTATTCCACACTTAGTTATGGTTCATGTCAGTTACCCTCTTCTTAGCTAAGATAGATGTAGAAGAACAAATGGTTTCCCGTTTGGAGAACGCGTTTTCCACATCTTCTTGTATGTTTACCGGAGTGTATCCAGACACGACAAATGTGCAAGCTTGCGACTCATGGGATGAAGCACCAATAGATACGTAAGTGCATCCCCGGCATCGTAAGTGGTGAATGACCATTTTTTCCCCAGGTACAAAGTGGTGCCCCAAGGTTATGTTTATTGGTTATAAAATGTTATAAATTGGTCTATAAACCACATTTGCTAGTTCGATATACCACCTATAAACCATAGTGAAATTGGAGTTATACAGCAACTTAGCAATTCCTACAGTTATGGCCATTTATTAGTTATAACTGGTTATAAATGGGATTATACATTCTATAAATGGGGCTAGTTCAGTACAAACATAACTGGTAAAGGGCCTTAGCTGTAGGTGGGCACCACATTGTATAGATAATTATAATTGGACGTCACTGGATTGATTAGTTGGGGTAACTATCCCCAAAACAGACATACCCTCTGGTAATTTAACATAGCTATTGAAAATGGCCATTTATAGTGAGTTTTCCCATAAAAAATGGTGATTTTCCATAGTTATGTTAGTTTACCAGAGGGTACTTCAGGTTGCTCTCTTTTTCGTTGAGATTGTTTTCCAGACGCGAATGATGATACCCGGGCAAAATCCACAGTGCCCGGATGTGAACTAATTATATTGATTCTGATGTTGCTGATATCATCAAATTTATATCACTACACATATCACTATACATATGTATATACACATTTGACGGTAATATGAATCATATTTCTCTAAATGAGGTATCCCCAAGAACATTGGCTTTCTTAACCTGTTCCAATGACATCGGCTGGCCGCTTCGATCGGGGCTGAGATTTGTTTGCTGACCATGCAGTTTGACTGATGACCTACAGTTATGGCCCAGAACGGTTATAATGTGGGTAAAACAGGGTAAAACAATAATAAGTCATCCCCCAACTAAATCACCATAAATAGGTGGTATAAACCATTCCCACATGGGTGGTTTATTATTGTTTTTCCCACAGGTTACAGTGATTACAACTCCTGCAACTAAGGTTATATATCATTCTAAGCCAGTTATAACTATAAGTGTAAGAGTTACCCTAGGGTAGACATACAAGAAGATATGGAAAAGCCATGGTTTCCCAGTTCCCGGTGGATTTTCAACACTCGAACTGTAAACGTTTACAGAAAAGTACATGTTCAGATTGTTCAGGGCGAGGGTATCTACAATGTGAGGCCCCCAGTTATGTTTATTGGTTTATAAGCCCCAGTAACTATAGTTATTTGCGTACCATAAACCATTGGAGTTATAAACCAACTTAGATATCTTGGGGGCCTCACATTGTAAGATTGGCCATGAACATCCACCAATTTTCGCCGAACATGAGAGGCTTGAATCCAACAAGGCCCTGAAGTTACTGAAATAGGTTCTTAAACAGTGGTTTCACTGCACTAAATTGAACCATATTTTAATGTGATATATATATATTATATATATTTATGTTGCTTATTTATATTCCCTTGTTTCATTACTTAAACCCTCTCATTTGACTCATTTGTGTATGTTACATCAGTTCCATCCTTTTTGTGCGCGTGTCAATTCCATGGATAATAATCTGCAATCCACCATTTTTGCTCGTTTCCCTCTGGTTATTTAACATAGCCATGGAAAATGGCCCACTTATAGATGGTTTACCTATTAAACATTGGATTTTTCCATGGCTATGTTAGTCATAACCAGATGGTAAGTCCATATTTGTTGTTGTTTAAATCACCCTTTCCCATGGGATTTTGTGGGTTCTTGGGGGAATCTGAGTTAGTAAGGGGGTAGTAGCCAGAATAGGCCATTCATTTATGGTTTGCACATGGGTTACAGCTCTCTCTCTCTCTATCTCTATAATATATATATATATAAATATTATACACATCTAGATTTTATACATATACAGGTTCCAAATTCACTATTCCTTCTTACTTCAATGCCTCACCTTCTATTGCTTTGGCGTTCACGCACAGGATGAGTGGCAAGTCCTCATGACGTCCCTCCGTCGGGATCTTTTGTCGGAAGTTGCCAAGTTGGATTCCTCCCTGCGAGGTCGTGCCTTGGACGTTAGTAAAAAAAATGCAGATCCCCCATTGGTAACCAGTGGATACCAGTGGAACTATAGGAAAACCATAGGACATATACGGAAAATTATGATTTAATAGGAAAATATCGGGAAAATGATGATTTAGCCAACAACATCTAGGGAAAATTCGGTGATTTGGCCAAAACACATCTAGGAAGATCCATGACGTTGTCCTTGGTGACGTTACGGCGCGCAACCCCTTGAAAGATGTAATATTGATTCATCAGAACATGATGTTATGCTTATTACAATAAAAGACCGTCCATGACTGGGAATGGCAACCATACCAACTATAAAAATGGTGATGAAATTGGGGGAAGGTTTATAACATTATTATATTTTACCAACATAATTATTTATATGTTTGTAGGATTTTGTCCTGACCCATCTTTTTTTTGGCGTGCTTTCGCCACGGCACCCTCTGCAGAATGAGGAAAATGAACCGTGAGATTGTGGGGTTTTCGATGGGTTTCGTAGCCATCCAAACAGATTCAGAAAAGCTTCAGCCATTTCAGCAGGATTTTATGGGTGTTTATTCTTTGAGGATGGTTGCTGTTTTGTGGACATACAAATGTATGAAGGAACATAGAAACGCATAGAAATCCGAAAAAATTGGGAGCCCTAGTTCTGAGTGTATTTTTAACACCCATTATATATATATATATAAATATCATATAGGTACAATTGCCGTAAAGCCATGTAAAGCCTACGTTATTGGAGTTATGTTCACCAGCTTAGCGTTCTCGTAAACGGGAGCTCACCCTCGCCGCGCTGAATCCTGAGGCTTGTCGGTGCTGGTGGAAGAGTTGCAAAGTATGCGACAGGGCAAGAGTTACTTGGTGGATGGTTGGATTGAACGGAGATTTCACTAGGGGAAAATTTGGGAATATTTGTCTATATATTTGAATTTTTGTTGTAGCAGGCTTCCACCATTTGCAAGCCAAACAAACCCAAATAGCTCTGGTTGGATGTGTATCCAATATTATATATATATATACCCTCTGGTAAACCAATATATATATATATAACAAAGGAAAATCACCATTTTTAATGGGAAAACTCACTATAAATGGCCATGTTCAATAGCTATGTAACAAATTACCAGAGGGTATGGGGAAAATATGGGGAACAGATAGGAAAATGGTTCAAAAACTGGGAGTAAGTCTGATATACTTGGAGATAGTCTGGAAAATCTTTGAAGGATGGTTACAAGGTGGTGCCCCAAATGGCTAACTTGGTTTATGGTGAATTCTATGGTTTATGATCGATATATCTATTGTTTATAGGGGTGATAAAGCCACTTACGACTGGGGGACCCACCTTGTTGTAGATTGGATCATCCCCAAAAACTGGACCAGCCAATGGGTATGAATTCATGGTATGATAATGGAATATATCATGACGTTATAATACGTTATACATATACAGGTAAATAGTATAAGTCCTTGAAAACTTGCTGTACCATAGTAAATGATGTTACTTTCCCCCCTTTAAAGTATTATATATATACAATATAGCTATGTTCACACAGTACGTAGTTTGTAAGGTCAGTTCTTGACTTGGATGGGGCTATGAAGCAAAGCTGGCTCCAGCAGTGAGGAGATATCAACTCAGTGTCTATGGCGCATCGGAGATGCACAAAGTGTACTTAGATGGGCCATGGGATTAGCTATAACCATCTAAGCCTAATATTATAATCCATGGGGTAAAGCCTTAGATTAGCTATAACTAGCCATGGAATTAGCTAAATGGGCCATGGGATTAGTTATAGGCTAAGGAAGCTATAATGGTTAGTAACTGGGGATTTGTTACCCCCTATATCCCACGGAAATATATAATCCATTTACTAACTAGTTAACTAACTCCATGGCCCATCTAAGTAGGGCATGTTGCGCCTTTTTCTCAGATTTTACCTGGATAACTTCTACCAGGTGGTGCCCACTCTCCTCATTTGAGTTTGGTTACTGAACTTGATTCCATTTCTGACGACCTTGAGACGTATCTGCAAGATCAGTATGAAGCTGATCTTATCGAGCAGAATGCTCGAGACTGTCAAGCCTATGAAGAATTCATTGGCGGCTCTGGCTTCTCAGGTCGTTTTTGGGACGAGCTGGACGATTCCAGCTAAAATTTGGATCAACAAAGACAATCGTTTGATAAGCTGCTCACCTTTAGGTCCTCGTTGGTTCAAAGCTGTCTTGTTCATCATGTGATTTATGATTCCATCCGTCTGAACAATTTTGAAGATTTTTTCCTGAATGTGTTCATTCTGACATCAACTATTGTCGGAAATTGGACTTTCCCCATTGTGGTGTAAGAAGAAGAGAGATTGTGAATGCTTGGTAGGCCTGGGTTGACAGATAGTTTTCCCATGAATTTCGGGTGGAAATCATCCAACGTTAGATCATTCAGGATTCGGTATTGAAAGAACCATGGTGACGACTGGGGATCCCCCATGAGACAAGAAACCCCCAAAGAAATGGCCCATGCTGAATGCCAGTTCCTTCGCTGCAGCATGCTTTCGCAGGTTCCATGCTGAATGCCGAAGAACTGGCAAAGCGTGCTGCGCAAGTGGCAGAGAGCAACAGCAGCAACAGGGCAACCTACCAATGGAGATTCAACAATGTGATCTTCTGGGTTTAACGGTTTAACCATTGAACAATGTTATTTTAATGGTTGAAGTTTAACTAACAAAAATCAGGACTAAACATGATGAATAGGTTATATATGGTTGATGGTTTCATGTTTTTATTTTCCATAATATATGGGATAATCCTTCCCATTGACGCTTATAGTTTTCAAGATGGTTAATGGTATAAATGGAGGCAAATATGGGCTAGGAAATCGCCAGACAAAGCATATATTTCAATCAGAAAATCATTGTCGTAAACCATTAAGAAAGACATGACTGATTGGTGGTTTGGAACATGTTTTTTTTTTACTTTCCATATATTGGGAAGAATCATTCCAACTTACGAACTCATGTTTTTAGAGGGGTAGGTATACCACCAACCAACGATGCACATCCAAATAATGCTTTGATGATGCATTCTTCGCAATCAATATGACATAATGTGGCAATAATACCTTTCAAACATGGGGGACAGAACCCCTATATAGATGATGGCTGGTTGTTTTTGCAGAGGGAAGTGAACTATCAAGTAGATTATTTTGACCACCAAACATGTAGATATCATGTTGATAAATGATTTTTGGCTGATTGATGATTGGTTACCATGGGGGTACGACCTGGTTTATTGGGGATCGGTGTGACCCATTCTGGGTAAAGCTTGGGTTGGAATTTAGTAGTGTCAACCCCGGATTTTGCTAAACCATGTACCCCTCCAATAGTCATAATATGATACTTAAATGGTACCCCCCCAATTAAACAATCTAGGGGTTATTAATCCAGGGTTGAAATTACATCTTAGTCTTTGGCTATGAAAGGGGATATCTGAACTTAACCAGCTAAACAGGCAATTATTTTGCAGATAGGTAAATCCTGCAGCTAAACAATACTGCCACCTAAACAGTCATGACCCTAACCAATCTAAGCTTGCCCATGCACTAAATGATAACGGCAGCGGGTTTTCAATGCTGCTCAAGCATAAATAAGGACTGTCAGCTAGGTTGCCTCTGACATTCAAGTAGGTGGTAGATACGATGACGGGCCCCCGAACAACAGGTAAGTTGGTTTTAGAACTAGGCTAAGCAGGATTTAAGAATATCTACGTTGGAGTCCTGGACAACATATTTTTATATTTATTTATATATATATGTATTATGTTTTTGATTGGTGTATAAACTAACTTATAACCCCCGGGCCATTCTTCAGAATAGTGTTTCGAGGACGTTTGCTTTATGATGCTCAACTTGTAGATCAGATTCCAGGTTGCCCTTTTCTGTTTTTTCAAGGGGGTTACTATGGTCTGGTGATCGTGGCCCCAGCACCAAACCCTACTTGCAAAATGTTGTCGTGCCAGTAGTTAATGACGTGACCAAGCCACCTTTGGAATTTTCATTTTGCCAGCGTTTGTTTTGCAAAGGCACACCACAGCTTGCCAATTCACCCCGTTTGATTTTGTGTCTCTGTCTAGGCGGAGCTACGGGAACCTGCAGTCTCAGCCGGAGCTGAGTGTTGAGCAGTGCAGCGCAAAATTGCTGCCAAGGCTGGCACCATTGATGAGACGTCTTTGACGGCACCCGACGTCGACCACGCTACTGGCGATCGATTTTCGCTGTTGCGCCAGGAGCCTTTGAGTTTGGATCTCGGCAAATATCTGGAGCAATGGTTTGGAACTTTTCCGATCGGTATGCAGCCTGGCGACTTCCTGCAATTGAGACATATTGAGACACACTAATTGCTGAGAAATGCATCTGTGAGTGGAATGTTCCACCTGGTGCTGCAGCTGCCATTGATGAAAACCTGAAGAAGATGCTGCACAAGCAGGCTTACAACGAAGAGCCTCATTTAATGTCGATGGTAGAAATAGAGCCCTGATTTGAATCAAACAGATGTTTTATTAATTCAGGCGAACAACATGTTAGCACTAGGCTTCACTAGACTTGACATCTGTGAGCAAGAGGTGGAGATTGATCCAGAGAACGCAAGCAAAAATACTGATGATCATTTTTGAAACTATGTTTCCAGGAATTGGTGACACTTCAAAACCAAGTTCCAGTCATAAGTGGATATATGATATATAGCCCTAGTTATGTGGGTTATACCCCAACTTCTGGTGGTTTTAACTTTTAACCATTGGTATAGCTATAAATAACACCAACTACAGGTGAACGCTTTTTTTGGATCACAACTTTTGGGGCTCCTATGCCATAGAAGGGGGTGTCCTAAAATAGGGAGACCCCCAAATCATCCATTTGAATGGGGTTTTCCATTTTAAAACATCTATAAATGGGTATCCCCACTTATGGAAACCAAAATTTGGTTCATGATCTCATTCCGAGTATTTCTGCAAGGTTAACCCCTGCAAGTTTGTGGTGGTATCGATATGATCTTTCCAAAGTCCTCCGATCCATCGCTTCCAGCCGTGCGAGATATCAGATCATATCAGAGCCCTCCAAAAAAAAGAAACTTTCACCGTGAAAAGTTGGAAATTGAAACCATGTTTATGAACACACATCTATGAAAGCCACTCTGCTTATACCAATACTTCAACAAGACCCAGTCCTTTAAAAAAGGCCTTGGGTGAACCCTTCCTGGGAATGTTGCGCCTAAGGCACCTTGGAACAAGTGAAGGTCTTGAAAGAAACTCTGGAGTTGGGTATCAAATCCGAAATTGCAGGCAGACGGGCGCAGTCGATTCTGTCCGGAATTGGTTGAAAGGAACGTGTTCAGGAAGGTAGTGGAGCAAAAAGCATATGTTGTTTTTTTAATTGGGATACTATTTATTTTGAAATTCGTCGCAACAATAATTGCAGTTGTTGTGTTCAAGAAACATGATGTTATATTTACCAATTAGTTTAATTACATGTGTTTATCACCAGACATATATGTTGCATTTTTTTATGGTTACAATGTTACATATCATTCTGATAGCCATGAACACGTTGTGTTAAGAGTCAACTACTAGTGTTCAGTAATTAATTAGTATGCATGAACTAAAACAGGACAGTTACAGTATATGTTGGTTGGTGGTACTAGTCAATATGCATTTTAAAATGTCAATATTCACAATCTATTGTAAAACGTAATGTAAACTAGTAACAACAATAACCATACCTAGTAGTAATAATAACATAGTAACACTAATAACACTAAGAACACAAATAACACCAATAACACTATTAACACTAACAATGATATTGATGATAATAATAATCATCATCATCATCATCGTTGTCATCATCATCATCATCATCATCGCCATCATCGTCATCGTCATCGTCATCGTCATCATCATCATCATCACCATCATCATCATCATCACTAATCATCATGATGATACCACGATGATAGCCATAATAATTTATTATAATGATAATAATGTGCCATAATGGTACAATGTTGATAATCAACATTATTCCTAATGCTAAACAATATCATTTTCGTGATCATATTCCTAATCCTCAACATTATAATTATCATACTGGTTGATTTACCATCATGATTATAGTATCATTGATTATGAACATTGATGATTAACATGTTAATAATTGATTAAACCACTAATTAACAATCATTACCATTGGTAAACTAACATAACTATGGAAAATCACAATTTATAATGGGTAAATAAACTATTTCTATGGCATTTTTCAATAGCAAACTGTTAATTTACCAGAGGGTAAGGGTTTCCTGTAAATGTTGCATCCAAAGTATCCAACACTGGCTTCAGAACTACAAGATTTTCTTCCAACAGAAAACATCCATGGAAATTCCTACAACTTAAAAAAACAACACCAACCATTACCCTTCTGATAATCAACCACTGTCCCTCCCAGGCGTCCAAGGCCTCTTCGACGATCTGACCCACCTCAAGGGCGAGCTGACCAGCTCCGCAGCGGAGGACCGGCAGCACCTGGCGTGGCGCGGCGTTCTGTTTCAGACGGGTGTTTTTTGCGGCCGAAAGGAGGGGCAAAATGATGGAAATGATGGAAATATAGGGACTTACAAGGTGGTGCCCCATAGTTAGCTAAGTTGGTTTATAACTCCCATAACTATGGTTTATGGCCCTATAGTCAATGGGATTTATAAACCAACTTATAAATGATGGAAATATGGGGACTTACCATCTGGTTATTTAACATAGCCATGGTATAGATGGCCCATAGAAATAGATGGAAAATGGTGATTTTCCATGGCTATGTTAAATAACCAGATGGTACCTAGGGAAAATGATGGAAACATGATGGAAATTGGAGGATCTACACAGGAAATGATGGAAATCCGGGGATTTCCCCATGGAAAATGATGAACAAAAATGATGGAAATGATGGAAATTGGGGACCAACTCAGGTTGCAATGTGCCTGTGCACTCCAGTGGGGGCCAACATGAGATCCTTTCCCAGCATGTTAGGATTTCGGTAAGAAACATTGGGATCTGCACCCGTGACAACAGGTTATTTACTTCGAAAACGATGGATTTTTGGTGATTTAAGGAGCAAACATGTGGAAACGTCAGATTTACCAGTTGATCAAGTGTGAGAACATGGGCACGGAAATTGGAAAAAATGTTGGATCTTGACCCAGGAAAAATCATCAATTGACAAGCAAAAATGTGGTAAACCTTGATATGGATCATTTTGTTGCAATTCATGAATAAACTAAAAGAACATCTAAACATCGAGTTGTTGCTGGGTATCCGCTCGATGACTGACGGAAGTTCCGCTCGTTCCGCTTCCTTGACGGCAGACAAAATGGGGATCCAACCAATATAACACATTAAAAAAATGGACCAGGACCATGTGAATGAACAACCAACAACTGGTCACTGGGAACGGTGGTTTGGAACCATGGAATTTTATAAGTTTCCATTCAGTTGGGAATTGTAAGCCCAACTGACGAACTCATATTTTTCAGAAGGGTGGCTTGAAACCACCAACCAATAAATTCTATTGGAATGTTGTGGGACTATTCCAGGTCAAACTCCACCATGTCATGGTTGATTTTGGCAGGGCAAAGCATCCTCTCAGAATAAATTTGCGGAAAAAACCATGCAGTAAAGTCTTTCTGTCAGAGTTTGGTGATTTCCTTACGAAATCTGGGGACGTTTCTATATTTGATGATAATGTCACCACGGTTTCCAACAAACATAAGCTGTTCTGGAGTTTGATCGTAAATTTGGTGTTTTTTTTGAAGTTGTAGGAAATCCCATGGATGTTTTTCTTGGAAAAAAACATCTTGTACTTCTGAGTGTTGGAGACATTGGATGCAACAGGAGGGAAACCCTTACATTCAAGTAGTGAAGCTTAACAAAAACAACCTATTTTTTTGGTGTCACTTAATTTTCCTCAATTTTGAAAAACCATCATCTTCAGCCATTTTGACCGGTGTGACATTCTGCAGTGTTTTCTGGAAACTCTCAGGTCTGCCTTGGCGAAGCTTCAAGTGCTTCAAGAGGAGGTTTTTCAGTTTCGGGGGATGATCCAAGTGGGGAAAAAATGATGGTTCTACCCTCTAAACATACAAACAACTATGGAAAATCACAATTTTCAATGGGTAAATCCTACGAAAATGGATGATTTAAGGGATAATAATGGGACAAACGTGGAATAATCATGTGAATATTTGGATTATCCCCTGGTAAACATACAAAAAAACTATGGAAAGATCCACCATTGCTGAAGGGTAAATCAACGAACTTTCTATGGCCATGTTCAATAGCAACTGCTAGTTTACCAGAGGGTAAATAGTTTAGAGGTTTCCTAAAGTGGTGCCAATTGGTGCCATGTTTATAGGCTTTTCCATTATCAAATCATATAAAATTACCCATGTTTAAGGGCTCCCCTATTTATGGAAACCCCCAATTGGCAAGTGATGAACATGACCATAGTTTAAACCAGTTGAGGATGGTTTCCAAAAAGAAATGATCCGGGTATTGCGACCTCACTGGAATTATATAGCCGAACTTTTCATAGTAGTGAATTGTTTAAAATTACCGAGATTGATATGATGGATATCTTATTTGATTAATGGGTTAAAATTTGACATCCTTACTTTTGGTAATTTACCGTAAAAATTGATGTTACCATAATTAGTAATTCAATTTACCAGGCCGCAAAACAATATATTTTTACTTTTCTTGCGGGGATGAATGTCCAGTTACCAGCTATTGTAGGGTTGCTCCAAGTCCTTGTACGTACATGATTGCCACAAGAGCTGGAAATTTATGATGCATGTTTTTTTGCAAGCCTGATAGTTGTAAGCCAGCTTTTATGTGGAATATTCCCAGCTATTTACTGCTTGTAATATATATATATTATATCATCTACATATACATATATACATTATATATATATACAGTATTATTATCCAATATCAGTGAGTAACGACTCGAGATGCCTAGAAAATTCACATCCAGTCGTGTGGACGACTTGATTCAATCTGGGATCCACCATCTTGAAGCTCGGTAAATCAACGAACTAAATGGGACATTGCCAGAGGGTAACAATATAACACACATATATATATATATTATATATATATATATATGTACACAATTCTAGTTATAACATATATTCTTTGTATAATATAAATATATATTTTTTTAATGTTCATGATGTTCATGGAACATAAGTATGGAACTGTGTAAATTGGATTATAACTATGGGGCAATAAATGGGATTACAACTATGTCCCGTTATATATATATACAAAATTACATATATATATATAAAAAAATGGAACATAACTATGGGACAATCATGGGATTATGAACCATATGGATTTTTTTGGGGGATAATCATGGGATAATAATGTGAATATTGGGATTATCCTCTGGTAAAGGTTAACAAAAAACTATGGAAAGATCCACCATTTTTAATGGGTAAATTAGCTATGTCTATGGCTATGTTCAATAGCTATGTAACAAATTACCAGAGGGTGACTTAAAATTACATGTGTTTTACAGTTAGCGACTTAGTGTTTTGATGTTTTTTAGGGTACAGTGATTTACCGACACAAAATTACCAAAAGTCATCAAAAGTCAAGCTTTACGGAATCAACAAACCAACGAGTTATATATATTCAGTTTAGGAAACTTGACTGTTCAAGTCGGTGATGGTTTAGGAATAACTAGCAGTTTGGATTAACTGTAGAATAACTGGAATAATAGAACCATTCCACTATCCTAATCCAACCATTCAAGTGGATGGGAACTAGCAGCCGGAATCCATTTTCCAAAGATACTGTTTACAAGAATCATGATTGTATACCTTTCTTGACTTCCATTCTGCAATAGCATCCTTTTTTACACAAGGTGGTGCCCCCTAGTTATGAGTTACTTTATTAACCAATGCCCCTGCAGTGATATCATGACCATAAGCCCAGCACTTCATAACGCCACCTACAATGTGGTTTTTCTGCAGTTATGTTGGTTTAGAATCACCCCATAAATACTAGTTCGTTATTTGCGTCGCATCAACCCAATGGTTATTGGAGTTAGTTGACTTGCGATCCGTGTTTGCCAACAAAAATCCCATGGATTCCCATGGAATCACCCCTGTTATTGCTTGAATGAAAACTAGTTCGATTAATATCACCGACAAAAAACCAGGTTGTGAGTTATTGGAGTTATCTGGCCCCTAAAAACTTAGTTTTATCATGTTTTATCATAAATCAGCTATAAATCCCCATAAAAAACCCACATTTTCCGGGTTTCCTATAGGCTTTCCTTAGCGATTCACGGGGTGCAGCACCTTGGTCGCAGGTGGCGTCCTCCAGCGAGGAGGCCAAGACTTTCCTGCGGGATGGCGAGGTGAAAAACAAAAGCGCCTCGGAGAAGGGAGGCGTTACCATCATGTCTCCTCGGTTAAACAGGGTGGCAAAATAATTAGGTAGCATTTGGGTAGCTAAATAGGTGGTTAAATAGTTCATAGGTGGTTAAATGATGTTAAATGTGTGTGGTTAGACAGGTGGTTAAATATAGTTGGTTAAATAGGGTTCCGGGTTCATAGCTGGTTAAATAAATAATAAGGTACTTAAATAGGTGGTTAAATAGGTGGAAACCAGACATCTGAGAAACTAGTTATTTTACCATCATTTCACCAGGTATTCCGATATTAATTCACCATTCGAAAACATCATTTTTTTAAATGAAATTCCCTGGACAATGGATGGAAATTGATATTTTTGAATGGTGATTTAATATGAATTTGCAATTTTTTATAGGTGAATTCTCAATTTTTCCATGAAATTCTCTAGAAAACTGATGGAAACTTCCTCCCAGATATGGCATGATAGGTGGCTGATTTTTTTTTGCTCACCCCACGGCGAGCGATAAGTCGATTATAAGCCAGTTATAAATGGGATAAGTATGGGGATTATACAGTTAAGGCCCTTTACCAGTTATAAGTACTGAACTAACCCCATTTATAGAATGTATAATCCCATTTATAACCAGTTATATCTAATAAATGGCCATAACTGTAAGTGGGATAATTAGAGTTTATCCCACTTATGACCCCAGTAATCAGTACTAATCAAATGGTGAAGATTCCCAGTTATAACATGTGAAAAATCCCCGGTTATAAGTAATAGTTAGAGTTAATCCACTGATAACTGGGGTTCTAACCACCTACGATTTGTAGGATGATCCACCAGAGAATTTTTTCAGCTTGTCAAAATGAGGTGCCGTGGGTGGAGACTTGGGTACCAATTCAAGAAGAAAATTTGTCAAACGGCGGTGTGTCAAAACCTTGTACCCCTGGTGAACCCCAAAATAGCTGGTAAATGGATGTTCATTCCCCTAAAAATGGTATTAATAGGTATTGATCCATACCCAAATATGTTCCATGGTCAAAATTACCCTCTGGTAAACATACAAAAAACTATGGAAAACCACCATTTTTAATGGGAAAACTCACTATTTCTATGGCCATTTTCAATAGCTATGTTAAATTACCAGAGGGTATGTGGGATTATGATCTCAACTGGTTGCTGTTTAGCAATTTGAAACCAGTAGACAGATTAGATTATCACAGTGTTTTGGAAGTATAGTACCTGTTGGCTTTATGGTAGGTATATCCATATAGTTATATGGCTGAATACAAACCGCCAATAACAAGCATAACTGGGTGGCATCAACTTGCAAGTATTGGAGGGTTTAGCAACACATTAGATTATCAATGGATTGATTTGCAAATAGGGGAAACATATGGAGGAAACCATGTCTTTTGCTGTCAAATAGAGGGGGGTTATTTAACATAGCTATGGAAAATGGCCCATTTACAGATGATTTTCCCATTAAAACCCTCCATTTATGAGGAATTTTACATGGCTATGTTAGTCATAACCAGATGGTACATCTTGTGGCACGACGTACCACGACGTACGTGGCGAGTCTCCGTAGGTGGCGACTCGTCCCAACAGGATCTGGTGGGTCGAAAATGTCGATGGACGATCCTTTCATGATCATCCTCTGGTAAACATTTATGAGCCACGTTTACAACAAACGAACTGGAAAGATCCACCATGCTATGATATGCTATGTATGGGTAAATTATGGTAAAATCACTATTTTTTGGATAAATGGCCATGTTCAAGTTCGCAAAGTGTAAACGTTTACCAGAGGATAATCCTCGGCGACCCGTATTGTTTTCAGCAGCGGAAACGAGGTGCTTCATCCCCAATTCGTCTCGCCTCTGGTTGATCCCTCTGTTGATGACATCCCAAGTGTCCACATCAAACCCATGGTAGCTGGAGAGAAAAATGTGTATCAATGGATTATAGATTACTATAAATGGATTATATAGATATAGATAACATATATATATATATATACCTACAAGATTATATAATTTATATTTAGATGCATGGAAATAGCTACAGCCTTATGGCCTTATGGCATATACTTGTGACTTGATGGTTTTTATCCACGCTGAAAAAACACTTATTTCCCATCAGACTTCCACCGGCATCTATAATTCAGTTGTAAATTGACGGTTTACCCACGATGTATTTACTCTCTGCTAAACTAACATCATAGCTATATTAGCTATGGAAAATCACGAGTTTTATATAGTAGGTAAATCAACTATAAATGGTCCATTGCTGGTAGCAAACTGTTAGTTTCGTTGTCACCGGTGCTTTTGTTCGCTGCTTCTTCGTCATGAGGTGTGGAAGACCGGTGCAAGCAGCAACAAGAGATGCCACTGGGACGGCAGATAGGAACGATAGGAACGATAGGAACGATAGGAACGATAGGAACGATAAGAACGATAGGAACGATAGGAACGATATAGGTTTTCCCCAAAAAAGAGAGAAACCTATAGAACGATAGGAATGATATATCCCATATGCTCCATGGTGCTGGAATATTTACCTACATTTACCCCAAAAATTGCCCAGTTTTGTAGGTCAATATTCCAGCACCACGGAGCATCTGGGTATAGTTTTGGGAACGACAAAAATGTTTTACCCCTGGAATGATAAAAAGGGAAACCTAGCGTTTTGGGGGAAAGTGTAGGACTATAATAATGAAATATATATATACAAGGTGGTGCCCCATAGTTAGCTAAGTTGGTTTATAACTCCAATAACTATGGTTTATGGCAGATATAACTATAGTTAATGGGGTTTATATACCAACTTATAACTGGGGGGCACCATCCTGTATATCATCTCCAAAAATGTCACAATCAGAAACCCGGGATGTAACGGACTCTTTTGAGAACATACTTGAGTTCTAGATGATTTGGGAAATATATATGTTCATTTTATTTGTTTTGCAATATTAAACAATAGCAGTTCAGATTTGGGAATTTTGGGAATGTTGGGGTGATTTATGTTGTTTTTCATCTATCAACCAATAATGTTGGGGTGTGGAAACATGGTAATGGGCTATGCAACAATTGGGGGAAGGGATTATTACCGAAAAAGTATTGGGATATATAAAATCACCTGGAGAACTTATTGATCAATCTTGGAGAACGTATTGAGAACAATGAAAAATCATGTGAACTGAATACAAATGAACGTGTTTGATCTGCAAAACAAATGAACATATATGGACTTGGAAAAACATTAAAAACAAACTAGGAAAACAGTAACAAACTGAAAACTGTTCATCATATCGGCAAATGCGGGACGACACGGAAAGATATGGAAACATACAGAAAACAAGTCTAAACACAGAAACATGTTGGACAACAATGGAAACACACATGGAAACAAATGAAGCATGTGAAAAGTGAACGCACACAGAAAAAAACAGGAAACAACATAGATGGAATCAGTTTGTTTTGGCAGAAAGAACAAAAATTACAATCATACATGATGTTGTCGTAAAAAATGGAATCCTAAATCACATCGTCAATTGTATTGTATGGATAGATTAGAGCAACCTAATTGTGGATTCATCGTAGTTTTTTATTCCAGACAGCTGGATATCAAACTACTAAAAGACAATACACTTAAGCAACATGCATGAAGTGTGGATATGGAATTTGGATATGGAAATTCATCATCAGAAAACGGCCAAAAGGCCACCAGAAGCACAACCCAAGGCCACCAGAAGCCACCCAAGTGGCTGCACCGCTGCTCGAGCAGAAAGCAGATGGACAGGATGCCAAATCCACGGCGACAGCAGACGAGATTTCAGCAAAGGCGGTGGAACACCTCAAGACAATGTTGAACGCACTAGCGTCACTGCCATGGTCCAGCAGGCACATTGACTGCTATGCCCTGCTATGGGCATAAGACCAGGAGACAGTTTCGCAGGCACATGATCTTCGGATACTCCGCCTGATCCTGCGATTGAGCGCTTCATGCTTGAGCAGCAGTTGGTTGATCCAATGCCATTGTCATCAAGCCCTTGGGCCCAACATGGGACAGACAACGGCTTACCTGCTCGAGCTGTGCACCACATGATGTCGCCAAATTTAGCAACATTGCTTTGTGAATAAAAAACAGGTAGGGCTGTGAAAACATCAAGTAGATGAGCTGTGAGAGCGCTGAGACAGTGCTTAGTGAATAAAACACGGGTAGGGCTGTGAAAACATCAAGTAGATGAGCTGTGAGAGCGCTGAGACAGTGCTTAGTGAATAAAACACGGGTAGGGCTGTGAAAACATCAAGTAGATGAGCTGTGAGAGCGCTGAGACAGTGCTTAGTGAATAAAAAACACGGGTAGGGCTGTGAAAACATCAAGTATATGCGCTGTGAGAGCGCTGAGACAGTGCTTAGTGAATAAAACAAGGGTAGGGCTGTGAAAACATCAAGTAGATGAGCTGTGAGAGCGCTGAGACAGTGCTTAGTGAATAAAACACGGGTAGGGCTGTGAAAACATCAAGTATATGCGCTGTGAGAGCGCTGAGACAGTGCTTAGTGAATAAAACACGGGTAGGGCTGTAAAAACATCAAGTAGATGAGCTGTGAGAGCGCTGAGACAGTGCTTAGTGAATAAAACACAGGTAGGGCTGTGAAAACATCAAGTAGATGCGCTGTGAGAGCGCTGAGACAGTGCTTAGTGAATAAAACACGGGTAGGGCTGTGAAAACATGTAGAGAGGCGCTGAGACACTGCTTAGTGATAAAACACAGGTAGGGCTGTAAACATCAAGTAGATGAGCTGTGAGAGCGCTGAGACAGTGCTTAGTGAATAAAACACGGTAGGGCTGTTAAAAAACATCAAGTAGATGAGCTGTGAGAGCGCTGAGACAGTGCTTAGTGAATAAAACACGGGTAGGGCTGTGAAAACATCAAGTAGATGAGCTGTGAGAGCGCTGAGACAGTGCTTAGTGAATAAAAAACACGGGTAGGGCTGTGAAAACATCAAGTATATGCGCTGTGAGAGCGCTGAGACAGTGCTTAGTGAATAAAACAAGGGTAGGGCTGTGAAAACATCAAGTAGATGAGCTGTGAGAGCGCTGAGACAGTGCTTAGTGAATAAAACACGGGTAGGGCTGTGAAAACATCAAGTATATGCGCTGTGAGAGCGCTGAGACAGTGCTTAGTGAATAAAACACGGGTAGGGCTGTGAAAACATCAAGTAGATGAGCTGTGAGAGCGCTGAGACAGCGCTTAGTGAATAAAACACGGGTAGGGCTGTAAAAACATCAAGTAGATGCGCTGTGAGAGCGCTGAGACAGTGCTTAGTGAATAAAACACAGGTAGGGCTGTGAAAACATCAAGTATATGCGCTGTGAGAGCGCTGAGACAGTGCTTAGTGAATAAAACACGGGTAGGGCTGTGAATACATCAAGTAGATGAGCTGTGAGAGCGCTGAGACAGTGCTTAGTGAATAAAACACGGGTAGGGCTGTAAAAACATCAAGTAGATGAGCTGTGAGAGCGCTGAGACAGTGCTTAGTGAATAAAACACGGGTAGGGCTGTAAAAACATCAAGTAGATGCGCTGTGAGAGCGCTGAGACAGCGCTTAGTGAATAAAACACTGGTAGGGCTGTGAAAACATCAAGTAGATGAGCTGTGAGAGCGCTGAGACAGTGCTTAGTGAATAAAAAACACGGGTAGGGCTGTAAAAACATCAAGTAGATGCGCTGTGAGAGCGCTGAGACAGTGCTTAGTGAATAAAACACAGGTAGGGCTGTGAAAACATCAAGTAGATGAGCTGTGAGAGCGCTGAGACAGTGCTTAGTGAATAAAACACAGGTAGGGCTGTGAAAACATCAAGTAGATGAGCTGTGAGAGCGCTGAGACACTGCTTAGTGAATAAAACACGGGTAGGGCTGTGAAAACATCAAGTATATGCGCTGTGAGAGCGCTGAGACAGTGCTTAGTGAATAAAATACGGGTAGGGCTGTGAAAACATCAAGTAGATGAGCTGTGAGAGCGCTGAGACAGTGCTTAGTGAATAAAACACGGGTAGGGCTGTAAAAACATCAAGTAGATGCGCTGTGAGAGCGCTGAGACAGTGCTTAGTGAATAAAACACGGGTAGGGCTGTGAAAACTCAAGTAGATGAAGCTGTGAAGAGCGCTGGAACAGTGCTTAGTGAATAAAACACGGGTAGGGCTGTGAAAACATCAAGTAGATGAGCTGTGAGAGCGCTGAGACAGTGCTTAGTGAATAAAACACGGGTAGGGCTGTGAAAACATCAAGTAGATGAGCTGTGAGAGCGCTGAGACAGTGCTTAGTGAATAAAACACGGGTAGGGCTGTAAAACATCAAGTAGATGCGCTGTGAGAGCGCTGAGACAGTGCTTAGTGAATAAAGCACGGGTAGGGCTGTGAAAAACATCAAGTAGATGCGCTGTGAGAGCGCTGAGACACTGCTTAGTGAATAAAACACAGGTAGGGCTGTAAAAACATCAAGTAGATGAGCTGTGAGAGCGCTGAGACAGTGCTTAGTGAATAAAACACGGGTAGGGCTGTGAAAACATCAAGTAGATGCGCTGTGAGAGCGCTGAGACAGTGCTTAGTGAATAAAACACGGGTAGGGCTGTGAAAACATCAAGTCTTGATGCGCTGTGAGAGCGCTGAGACAGTGCTTAGTGAATAAAACACGGGTAGGGCTGTGAAAACATCAAGTAGATGCGCTGTGAGAGCGCTGAGACACTGCTTAGTGAATAAAACACAGGTAGGGCTGTGAAAACATCAAGTATATGCGCTGTGAGAGCGCTGAGACAGTGCTTAGTGAATTAAAGACGGGTAGGGCTGTGAAAACATCAAGTAGATGCGCTGTGAGAGCGCTGAGACAGTGCTTAGTGAATAAAATACGGGTAGGGCTGTGAAAACATCAAGTAGATGTGCTGTGAGAGCGCTGAGACAGTGCTTAGTGAATAAAACACGGGTAGGGCTGTGAAAACATCAAGTAGATGCGCTGTGAGAGCGCTGAGACAGTGCTTAGTGAATAAAACACGGGTAGGGCTGTGAAAACATCAAGTAGATGCGCTGTGAGAGCGCTGAGACAGTGCTTAGTGACTAAAATACGGGTAGAGCTGTGAAAACATCAAGTCTTGATTCGCTGTGAGAGCGCTGAGACAGTGCTTAGTGAATAAAACACGGGTAGGGCTGTGAAAACATCAAGTATATGCGCTGTGAGAGCGCTGAGACAGTGCTTAGTGAATAAAACACAGGTAGGGCTGTGAAAACATCAAGTATATGCGCTGTGAGAGCGCTGAGACAGTGATTAGTGAATAAAACACGGGTAGGGCTGTAAAAACATCAAGTAGATGCGCTGTGAGAGCGCTGAGACAGGGCTTAGTGAATAAAGCACGGGTAGGGCTGTGAAAACATCAAGTAGATGCGCTGTGAGAGCGCTGAGACAGTGCTTAGTGAATAAAACACGGGTAGGGCTGTGAAAGCATCAAGTCTTGATGTGCTGTGAGAGCGCTTCGTGAATAGGGATAGGACTGTGAGAGACCAAATTTGGGGGAGCTACGAACAACTGGGGATGACAGCTACCATGTTTGGTTGATAGTGTCAATGTGTTGTGTTTTCCAACACCCACAGTTGCTTTACCAGTTATAAATGGGTATAGAAGGGGTCATAATTCCATAAATTGGGTTATAACTGACTTATTACTGGTAAAGGCCATAACTGCAGTTGAAATGATGATCACAAAACAGCACATATTTGGGGTTTCACCATTAGTTTGCATTTGAAGAGACTTCAAAGTATAAAAGGATAAATCCAGAGTGAGAATGGCAGCAAATGGGAAAATTATAGACCCATTGTTGAATGTGTACTTGGTGGTTCGTCCCACTTAGTAACTGGGTTATGGCCCTAGCTATAGGTTGGGATGAGCCACCAGGTATGTCCCACAAGAAATTCAATATTTTTGGCATATCGTGTAGTTGTTCAGGGTATCTACATCGATGCAACCATCTTTCCTCAAAATCAATCAAGGCCAAATGCCTCCAATGCATGTATGGAAACTCCGCACCAAAGAATATGGTGTAATAGCTGCTATTGCTAGCACCCAAAATGTTCATAAGTCCAGGATTCCCTTCTGAACTGTATGCACAAATATACCATAATGTATCAATAATATACCGTGGTTCCTGCGCTGGGGGACAACCATCACAGATGCGTGCAGGCACGCGGAAGTTGAGAAGGATCTGAAGAATATGGAGATGCAGATCTCTGGCTGAGGGGAAGCTATGGTAATATCCCCACGGAATTCTTGCTGTTTTTTCCGGATGGGGATGGCATTGTATAATCCTACAAGGTCCCGTGCCCCGGTTTGATAGCTAGGTTGGTGAACATAACTCCAATTTCACTATGGTGTATGGGTGATATATCAAGCTAGTATTCATGGGCTTTATAAAGTACCACCTATTTACGCTGAAATTGGGGATGGCTTATACAAACTTGTAGTATTTCCCATTGCTACATTCGATTGCCAGAGGGAATTTGGCAGGTTTCCGTTTGTAAGGTGGCCCCATCACTCAGACTTTCAGATTAAGTGATTTTCGCCCATCCACTGGTTAGAAAAAGACACGGGGTTGATCCTGGTTGATCGGTACCACTCTGCAGGTATGGCCCGGAATACCAGTTATAAGATGTTATATATAAGTGCTGAACTAACCCCATTTATAGAATGTATAATCCCATAGAAATATCCAGTTATAACTATACGTATGAATGGCCATAACTGTGAAACGTTTGCCTAGTTGTAAAGCCACTTTCTTGGGGATCTCCATTTGCCAAAGGGCGCCACTTTCAAGTTCTGTTCTTCACTTGGCGGGATGAACATGCCCAAACGTCCAATCTCCAAGCCAACCTCGAAAATCTCGGGGA